GTGGGCTGCGCACACTGAGCGTAATTGTCAGTTGTCAGTCAATGTTTCAACTACCTCGTTTTATCAATGGAAACGTCAAATGAAAATCACGTTATCCAGAATGCACCACATCAATTGTCACTTGCGCAGTGGACTGCGTAAATTACTGGTCGATCTTCTGTTCTTGAGGCAGAAAATATTGAAGAGAACCACACCCGCGAAAGCTCACAAACGCACAGTTACCGTGTCGCCTTCCACAGCTCGCCGTAACCGCTGGTTGTACTAAACTGCGCGCCGTCCATTTGCGATCCATGGCCCCGTCGCGTTCGTGCGCGCGCGCAAACATTTTCCGAATTTTTGCCGAATTTTTGCCGAATTTTTGCCGAACTTTCCTTCTAAATTTCGGCATGTGCGGAACTTTGCCGAATCTGAAGTTCGGCAGATTCGGTCCATCACTAACTTTTATGGCACAGGTGATAGACCCCCTAGCAACGACGCTCACGCCACATTGGCTGCTCGGCAACGCGCGGGAACTTAAATTTCGGATTCGGAGAGCGCGTGTATATAACCCGCCCCCCCCCCCTCCCCCCCCCCCCCCCCCCCTACGTTCACACCGCTTCGCGGCGGCAGTGTGCGGCTGCTAATTACAAAACTACTACCCACTTAGCCTCCCCCCCCCCCCCCCCCCGCCCCTTCTAACCCCGTACACGCCGCTTTGCAGCCAGCAACTCAAGCCCCGCTGTCCCCCATGCATATCCGTCAATAGTCCCATACGATTTAGTTCAGCGATGTTTCCTCGACAACATTTTTTTTTCTAGTGTTAATCGTAAAAAAGAAATGTAAATATCGCCAAATACCTCGACAAAGCAAAATGTCCGAGGAAAAAAAAAAAGGATGCCCACACCGTGGATAGAACCTGGGTCTCCTACGTATGAGGCAGACATCTTACAACTAAGTTACGCTACCGCTTCGGAAACTCGCGCTGTAACCACTGCCTATGTTGACGGCGGCAGCGCCTATCTCCACGATCCAGCCAATCCGGCGGGAGCGCCGTTGCTAGGGTTTGTATCCCCTGCGCGTTAAAAATATGCCCCCGCGGGTCGGGGGGCGGTGCCCTTGGAATTCCTTGGGCGCCGCCGGCCAGTGTTTGCCCTGCCCAGTGGCGGCTGTTTCAGGGGGGGCAAAACACATGCCTTGCCCCCCCACTCTGAGAACTGGGAGGTGGGGGGGGGGGGGGGGGCAAGCGCCCCCTTGGTTGGTACGCCCATGCCATTGTCCTTTTTAGAATGATTAACCCAGCAAATCAAGATACTTTGATTGGAAAGCCTAAACATCAGTTCGCGTTTCGGAAAAGCTTTGTTCATGCAATACGCCTCGCAAGTGGGCTCATTTTCGTCTTCTGCGCATAATAAAGGAAGTAGCGGCCACGTCAGAACGCCGAGCCCTGATTGGCTGATCGCGTCCCCCTATCTCAGCATCGTCTGCTCCTTTGCAACGTCGTCTGCTCGCAACGTCGTCTGCGCCTGTCTTACCTTTCCTGCGACTTTCGGAGCGAACTCGACTTCGCCTTTAAGAGAGGGCAGACGAAATAACTCGAGTGGTACGTTGTTTTTGTCTAAAACTAGCAGACACGCATCAAGGAGGGAAGTCAAAGGACTCACTGGCGAGGTGTCCCGGGGCGCCGAGGTTTGTTTGCTTAGAACCGAGAGTGAGCGTGTTACAGGGGCGGATCCAGACCTCCATTTTAGGGGGGGCGGTTCCTCGGTGTAAAACGGCGGGGGAGGGGGGGGGGGGGGGGGAGTGTTTATATTTTTCGTGGAGTTATCATTTTTACTAAACTCTGATAACATAATATAGATCTTGAGAGCTTTTGTATCGGTTTACCTGTCGTGGATGAACTCTTTGATTAAAACCTTTCGGGTGGCCACGCTAGAGGTAAGTATCTAGAAAATTGTGGTGGCACTATCTTTCCTGAAACTTGGGTTTCGGACCGACACTACGTGAGCAGTCGATATAGGGCAGCTTAAAGACATTGCCTTGGCAGACATTCTGGTTGGAGCTAGTGCTCAACTGCTGCGGCAACGGGAAGAGCGGCTTAAATCAATGGAGCAAGTACGTTGCAAACAAGCGACAAAAATGGCCCGGCGGCTTCGACGCTGCTCGCGGCGTCAAAACACTGTTGACGCAGCGAGCGAAACGAACGCTGCCAGGCAAGTTCGTCGGTTGTTCGCCGTATAGTTGGAATGTCCAGAGCGCAGCACTTGCGGCATTGCCAACCCAAACTCGTGTTTTCACGTGTTCTGGATGCAACTCGAGAGAACGAAAGCGAATAATTGTTGAATATTTTTGAAAGCATGTTGCAGTTCGGCAACCATAACTTTTAAACTTAGACAAGACCTTAAACCAGCAATGGATCCTTCCAAATTATATTCAATTGCACTTCGTCTGGATATTTTCTGTATGAAAGGAACACTTGTTTCTGGGTAGTTAGCTCATTCGTCAGGGGTCGAGAGGACAGGTGCAGAGATATGATGGGGCAGAACGGTTGCCCGGTCGGCGAATCTCAACTGGACTAAAGGCCGATCACGACTGCAGCATGGATGTTTGGAAGTCGGTGGTCACTCGAACGGGCACAGGCACTGTCTATTTAATTTATGTATAGTCGCATCTTTGAAAGGGCTAGTTTGCCCCAAGTCCCTAGGTAGGGAATTCGAAGCCGCAGTTGGAAACCAGCAAGCCCCGCCTCTGTTCCGTTTGATACACACATATTCGCTCCTGCAAAGCCGCGCGAAAGCTCTGCCGTCAATCCACAGAAGCCGCGTTTAACTCGAAATGTAAAGACGGCGCCAAGGGGAGACAAGGAGTAGTGGGCGCCTTTCCTAAAATATGTCCCGCCACCCTAGGTTGAAGCAGCATTGTATACAAATAAATGCCTACGGCGTCGGCTTGAGGACCCCGTGTAAGCAGCCTCCAGCCTTTAGAGTGCTTCTACCGTTTATCTTTCTTTTATTAGGGAGTTTTAGTAGACCGTGTTTAGCCCTCCGCTAACCCTCCGCTACGAAGAAACCGCTACTGCGCCTGCGCGCCGATGGCCTTGGTTGTAGAGTTCCGGGTAGCGGAGGGACATAGCGGAGCGGGAAACACGGTCTACTAAAACTCGCTAATAGCTTCCCGCCATGAGAAGTCGTACCGCAGGCAGTATGAAGCCCATTAGAGGAAACATCTCCCCCTTCTGGCGCTTGTCGGCTTCTTTCTGTATTCCGCGCTGCGGCGCTGATCCTCAGTGAGGGATGGAGGCGAGGACGAAAGCGGGCTTATGTTTAAGCCAAGGTCGTGGGGAAGCCCGGAGCGTCTTCAGGAGAAGCTCAGACCCACACTACACTGTACCCAGAGCATTTGCTTCCTCTCTCAGTTGAGAAGAAAAGCAATTGGTCACCTGGTTGTACAAGCTGCATCCTGCGTCGATTGCTTACGTTTTTTCTTCGAGCTGACGAAGAACCCCCGGGAGGGGGGGGGGGGGGGGGGGGGGTTGCCTGGCGAGGCGTTTGGGGGGGGGGGGGGGCGATCGCCCCCACCGCCCCCCCCCCCCCCCCGCCCCCTTGGATCCGCCACTGGCGTGTTAGTGTCCGCAAGTTCCCTCCCAAATACTTTTTCCCTCCATTCGTATGCGGCGAGACCACTCACTCTTTAACGGCGTCGGCGGGTTGGCGCAGTTAACGTCGTCTGCTTTACGTCTGCTAGTCAAAGCGATGGCTGCTTTACCTTTTCTGCGTCTGTCGAAGATTCACCGCTTTTTCACCGGCGAGAGTCACCGTTGCCTCGGGAAGCAAGGAGATAACAAGAGGAAGAAATTGACCTCTTAATCTAAAATTGAGGTCAGCGATCAGAGTATAATACGGGAAGGGTTCACAAGGGTCGTGCGGGCATATCCCATTCAGCACGCCAGCCGGTCGTGGGCAGACGGTCGCCGAGTCGCGGAGCGCCTGCTAGGCCTAACTGCCCAGCTCGTTTGGTCGCGTTCGGTGGAATCGAGGCCGTTGGAGCTTTTCCTGGGTGTTTGTGGATCCAGCGTTCTTGTTCGTCGTGGTCTGTTTCAAGTACTTCTTAATTTTTTTTTGCTGCTTGAAGTCGGGACGCGTCAGAAGCGCAGGTAGAAAAATAAACGTCCGTGGGTCGTCGCGACCGCGACGTTGTCAGCCATGCTGATTTGATCGTAAGAAGTGCGTAAGACAGCTTCGGAGGTGCCGTAGGATTTCGTCGTAACCTGCGCAAAACTTACGAAAATTTAATCTGGCCTCTGCGCTTCCGAAAGTCGCAGGAAAGGTAAGACAGACGCAGACGACGTTGCGAGCAGACGACGTTGCAAAAGAGCAGACGACGCTCAGATAGGGGGTCGCGATCAGCCAATCAGGGCAAGGCTTTCTGACGTCACCGCTACCCCCTGCGCAAGAAGCAGACGAACTTGCCCTCCGCATTGACGTGCTGTCTACTGAACGGCGGTGTGCCGTTCACTAGACAGCATGGTCAGAGTCGAAAAATAATGAAACAGTCGCTACGGGCTTGGACAAGAGACGGACAAGGCTTTCGATTTACTACTCCCAATACGTCCAACCAAAAAAAAAAAAAGACAAAAAAAAAAAAGGTCTAAAAAAAAGAACGCCGTTTTTTGCGGTGGTCTGCAAAATGGCCTCCAAAATCCCGAAGCGCGCGAACGCGCGCGCGCTTCGGTACACGTGGCGCCATCGCGTGTTGGGTTTAAAAAAAAAAGGTTATAAGTTTGAACTTAATTTAACAGTAATACAATAATTCCTAATATTTTCACAGGATTTATTAAAAATCAAAATATTATGTACTTAAATTTTTGAGAGAAGATAAGCTTTAGCATCATAAAGACGTCACAGGTCACATGACAGTTACTAAACCACGTTCATTCCCTTGTTGCATGTTGCATCCCAAAAATCTCACATCGCACTTTCGCACCCCCTTGTCAACAAGGTTGATCATTGAGGAGCAAAAAGGCAAAAATGCGCAGATGCGCGAATGTGCAGATGTAATGGAAGTGGCGCGAGCATTTTAGATCCCCGGTCTTTTGCGGACGTTATCAGTTCTGGCTGCTGCATTCACGGAGCTTCATCAACTGCCTTGGGCACACCGAAAGGAGAGCGGGTTGCCGTTGTTTTAGGTAGTTTTAGCGTCTGCACAAGAAGAGATCGCGAGTGCGTAGTTTACGGTTTCTCAATCCAAACCACTGTGATACAGCGATCATAACATCGCACACACGCCGTGCAGAAGCAGCACCAGGAATCGCCGGCCGCCTTCCCACGAGGCACGTGAGTTGCGCGACAGCTTTTGTGAAATCCCGCTCTAGGGGCTACACTTGAAAACAAGTTGTCTTCATTAAAGGGGCGGTGCAATGATTTTAACACTGAACGAATGTGCAGCTTGTATTTTTTATATTGTTTACTTCGGCATAAGTAAGAGAAAAAGTGCCACCATATCCTCTATTTCGCTGCGTAATCGCAAAATAAAAAAAACGGAAATAATAAACACGAAAACGGGACGGAAACTGACGCATTGTGTTGCTTACAATTACTTGGCCTAAAAAGTAATAGATTACCGTTACATATCACTCCCCGTAAAAAGTAATCGATTAATTACTTCGTTACTCCACTCTATTACTTCTGCGTTACTCCAAAGAAACACGAAAAATACACACAATATACTGCGTGTTTGAGGGGAAAAGTGTGGGCCCATCAAAATTAAAACAAAAATAAATACAGTCAGTAGTATCTACCCAATATTTTAGGTTAATAATTTTAGGGGAACGAATCTACAAAGTTTTAAAGGTCTTAAACAGGTGTTTGAGATAAACGAGTCTTGCACTCTCTAACTGGGACAAAACTAAATCCCATGAACATGCGATGAATTCACTTGGGCGGTGGAGGAACGCACACCATTAAAATTAATCTGAGTTTGGCGTCGGCGAGCTTCAAAACACGATTCCCCTGAAGATATGGCTTTTCTATGTTCACTGCATGTTCCCTAAATAGGGACTGGTATACCTGCTAAAGCTTACTGGCAGTGAGACCAAGATGTGGTACTTGCGTCTGGGTACATATCAAAGACTCCTGCTTGATGAAGGTTGTTATCCGATCGAATGACCCACATGTTCTTTCTTGATCACCGAACTTATGAAAACCAAAACGTTACACGAGATATTAATACACAATCTTTCAGCTGAACTGATTTAGCCGTCTACAAATTATTCAGAAAAGGCACAATTTTCAGCGATCAGCATGCTTCTATGCCTTTCACACGTTTACAGAATGGCTTCTTAACCCCAGTGTTTAAGTGAGCCACTGTATATTCTCAGAAAACTCTGGCTGTGTTCCCTTCCCTTCAAATTTTTGTCTAACTTCCTGCAGGTGCTATCCGCTGACGGGAACCCTAGCATTCACGTTTCTAAAAATATGGGTTCAGCTTCGATGTCCAGAGCCGTTTTGTTGTGCTCCCTGGCCAGCTTATTGCCTGCTGTCGAAAGTTGCTGTTTTATCTGACAGCTGGGTCGATGCTATGTTTTTTTTTTCCATTCCAATGAACTGCTGCCATCGCATTCCTCATGTTTTTTTCTTACGCATCTGCTAGTGCGAAGTCAAGTGACAGAAGCCCCATAGCTGGTTGGTCCTGCCAGTATCAAACTTTTACAGATCTGTCATAGATGAGAAGGGGCAAGGTCTCAATATAGCTTTCTCTGTGTTTGCAGGGGTGGGCATGTGTAGGCAGAAACATCAACAGGCAAAAACCGGTTTCGTGTGACAAAAAAAAAAAAAAAAAAAAAAAGATTTGTTTTGGGGGGACAAGGTGCGGAGGGGTGGGGAGGGAAGGAGGAGGAGGGGGGGGGGGGGGGAGGGAGTGGAGGAAGGGAGCAGACATGTGCATTGTAGTTACTGTGTCCACGTTCCTACTTGACACGAACCCCACGCGACGGTTTAATGGTCCATTAGTTTTCTGCTCTTTTGTACGCTCGAAGCAATCCGTTCGTTTTCCAAGAAGCCGAAGCCTGTTACCTTTATGTAGACAGTCCAATCCTCCCAACCTGGCTGACCGTACGAATTTCTATTTCTCCTTTTCATGGGACGGAAAAATTGTAACGAGTAATTTCTGTAATTCGTTACTGAAAAAGCAATGAGATTACATTACAAGTTACATTTTCAGAAAGTAATAGATTAATGACTAAATTACAAAAAAAGTAATCCGTTACTTGTAACGGATTACTTCCAAGTCTGGTGCACACCAGCTCAGAGCACGTAAAGAAGCTCGCCCTGCTGGATCCTCAGTTCAATCGCACCCCCTGCCCATTTCGATCTAGATTAGCATTGTACCGACGAGCGGTCAGGTCATGTATCATTACTGCGTGATTCATGTAAAGACCGCAAACTAGCAGTTATACTGCACTGGCTGAATTTCTCATCTACAGCTGAGACACCAGATGCCCACCGAGGCTGACCAACTTCCGGCTGAATAAACATACAAAAAACATTATTAGGTACGGGAACGAGAGCGTGACCGCGTGTCTTTTTTGTTGTTTTATTTTAGCACAAGCACTCACATACTCGCACATATAAAGCGCTTTCCAAAACCAGGATGCCAGGCTATCGCGGCTGTCTGTCTTCGGACGTGCAAGCAAAGAGTGAGCTCTGTGCTTTGAGCATGCCTGCCGTATGTGCACAGGTAACATTTGTAACGCATCTTGCATTCTACCGCTCCGCACACACATTTTAGTCGGAGCGACATTTTAACGAATGGCAGTGTTCATTTTAGCGAACGGTGCATATGTGTGGAAACTGTGATCTCTTTGGCATGAAGGAAATAGCCGGCGTAAAGGAATGTAGGTTGTTTCGATTTTGTTTATGATCGTTTTCAAATGGAACGGAAATAATCGCTGTTGATACATGCAAGAGAAGAGTGAAGTGTACAGACTCGCACTTCATAATTGACACAGATCAGCTGGGCTTTCTTCTTCATTGCTGCCGCAACTTTTTCCTTTTTTCGGATCAGAAAAAAGGTCAAAGGTTTTTTTTAAGGCCCATCCAAGAGCCAAGACATTGGCCCCTTTTGGCACGAACTATACGAGGAGACTAGCAGGATCTCATAATTTTTGTATGTGCTAGCACTCATTGGGGTAATGATTGACTAGGCAAAGATTACTCTGTTATATTGGAGTTTTTGTTGGAGAGGGTGTGTATTAAAGAGCTCAGGCTACAATCAATGTCGTAGGCAGTGCTTAGGCTTTTTACTCCCTTCTAGGTTATCCGGCCATTGAAGGCACTTTATGGCACTCCCCTTTGAAACCCGCTTGATCGCAGGTCACTCTGTTTATGTCAGTGCAGTTTACCTCAATCAGTAGAAGGGCTGCATGCAAATGACAAGGGAAATAACTTGCTCCTATTTTTATCTCGCACCCCACAAAACCAGGAAGTGGGGACGGCCCCGCCCAAGAAGGGCAGCTTGCACCAACCCACGCACGGAAGTCAGGCCTATACAGACAAGGACCGTGAAGCCGCATCCAAGGTCATTGAAGCCATGCTGATACAATCACCTGCGCTTGTGATTTGAAGTGTCTTCTTTATCCCCCTTTTAGATGGATCCTTTTCCATGCTAAGCACTTTTGCTTGCATCCAATCTGGATAACAATTCTGACATTCCTTCTGATGTTTTGCAAGTTCAGAATTTGCTGAACAAGCCCTATGCTTCTTTTGACAACCAAGGTGACCTTGCAAAAAAGGCGTCAGTCTATTTATTCTGAAGTAATTTTTAAAGACAACTCCTATGCCATGGCTTCCTGCCACGGCCTTCAGATTGCGCGAAAAGTTACAAAAAAAAGGCAGACATACCTACTTATCAAGCTTTTTCGCTCTACAGCTCTCTTTCGTAGGCCAACCAAAACAGTTCACGACACTCTAGTCACAACTTTCAAGCAATGCCCAAATCGGTCAACCTCGACATCTGAGCTCCGAAACTCTCTTGTCGGTGGTGGCAGCAAGATTTGTTCAAAGCATTTCTCAGAAGCGAATCCTGCTTTCTCGTCATGGGATGGCAACTGTGGTAGGGCAACACAAGCTTCAGTGTGTTTGCTGTTAGTGTGTTCGCTTTTGAACTTCAGGTGGCCTAGGGACGAGAGCTTTAGAGCAGAAAAAACCTGATAATTCGGTATGTATGCCTTTTTTTTCGGGGCTTTTCGCACAATTTGAAGGCTTTGGGAGGAAGCTATGGCATTATTGTTGTATATAAAGATTATTTCAGATTAAGTAGGTTGACAGCTTTTTTGCGAGGGCAGCTTCAAAAGAAGCATAGGAGGATCCAGCAACGAATTGTGAGGGGTCGATCATGTTTGAAATTTCCATGGCATGTGGCTTCTCATACGTCGGTCAGACTGGGTGCTGTTTGAACGACAGGCTACTAGAGCACAAATGAGCTGTTAAGGCTCGTTCGGCAAATTCCGAACTTGTGAAACGTCTGAAGGAATGTCAGAATTGTTTTCTAGGATGGACGCAAACAAGAGTGCTTTGCAAGAAAAAGGATCCATTCAAGAGGGCGATAAAGGAGATGCTTCGAATCACAAGTGCAGGCAATTGTATCAGCATGGCCTCAATGACCTTGGACGGAGCTACACAGTCCTTCTTATCTGTATAGGCTTGTCTTCTGTTGGTCGGTTGGTGCGAGCTGCTCTTCTTGGGTTGGGGCTGTTCCCACTTTTGGTATTGTGGGGTTGACGGGTGTCATTCTGACCTTGTGATCTGTTCCGCTTTATATAAAGAGCCTGTCCCGTAAATAAATCTTGCAGCTGTGTTTTGAGACGTTGTTGTGTTGTTCCTTCCTCTTTGGTTTTCCTTTGTCTGGGGGTTTTATAAGTATGACCGTTCACCAGCTAGCCTTCTGTTAGCTATTACCTTTATTTCAGTACTTTAATTTCGCAGCAATTCTGCCAGGTGCTTGAAATTGAAACTAAGAATGTATTCTCTAAGTGCTGGATTACCTTTCAACATCTAGTGCACATTGAATGTGAATTAGAATGGAAATAAGAATGGCGCTCGTCCATTGATGTTTTCTTGAAGGCAACTGTCACTCGTCACTGGCTTATGGCCAAGTGTAATAAAGCACCGTACTCGTTCTGCATCAGATGTGATCCCCATTTGGTTGTTTGATTCCCCAACCAAAAACGGCTATGGGCAAGCCTTGCACGGTATTCCTTTCCACAGCACCCTTCCACGAGTCTAACATCTGTGTCTCTTCAGTTCAGGCACAAAGATTGTCCAGTCGTGGAACCATGGCACCTGGCACCAGTACTCCCTTGGGAGTGTTGGCACTGACAGCAACGTTCATGGCTGGCACCGTCGGGGTGACCTACTGGTGGCTTAGGAAGAGGTTCCTCAAGGTTGCCAGAGTCAAGAGCATCGTGATTTACCCGATCAAATCTATTGTGGGTCTCGAGATCCCGTATGCATACTGCACCATTGAAGGTCTTGTCTACGGTTCCATCAAGGACAGGTAAGTACCGGTTGGTCGACCAGCCGATCTGAATGCATGGTAGTGAGCGAGAGCAGCGAGCCTATGCCGTGTTGTGTCGTCTGGTGAATATGTGACCATTGCGCCAGAGCAAGATTCCTGTAGAGTGTAGCTAAAGATAAGATTGCCTATACTACTTGTTATCACTTCAAGAGCCGTAGTTAAAATGCTTGGCTCCTCACGAAGCTTTACAAATTCATCCTTTATGGGCCACGACGTCATGCCCGCCTTAGAGGGGAACTATCACGATAAAGTCACTTTTCAGACAGGAGGCATAGGTAAAGTAGTGACTCATTGTTGTCTGCGCTATTCTATGTGAAGTTAAAATCAGTTTGTGATTCTGTTAAAGTATCTGCAATTCAAATGCAAAAAAAAAAAAAAAAAGTTGCTTCTTTTTTTCTTTTGACAACTAAATCTTGTAGGAACTACTTGGCACAGCATATAAACTATGCACAAAGATTTCTTGTATTTTTAAATGTCGATGATAATATAACATACTTACATAGTTAAAATCAAACAAGTTGATTATATAAATACATAACTAACACCTTATGTGGTGGAGAAAATAGCCATCCTCATATGCTTAAAAAAAGTGGACATGTGACTTTTTGAAGCATGATTTGTACATCATATCCTGCAGAAGTTTCATGCATAATTGCAATTAATTACATAGGTCTTCAAATAAGAATCACAAAAGTAAGTAAATATTTGGTTTAAGAAGCCTCCTGCCAGACATAGTGAGAGCCAATGTTTGGCTTAGAGACGTTTTCTGCCGTGCTGCGACTTCCCAGAAGGTTTGTTTTCTAGATCTTTCTACTGGCTTCTACAATACTGTACCTTGGTAAAATGTCTGATAGCAGAACAGCATTTCCCCATGGATGTGGAGGTGCTTTTTTTGTTATTTCTTTCATTTTTCTGTCTGCTACACTATTTAATTAACTGTGGCTGTACCTTAGCTGTAAAATCAATTGCAACAAAAAGATACCCGTTTTTAAATCACCTGTGACATATCCACCCTTCTACTTCTCTAAGGTCTGTGAAGCAAATGTTTCAAGGACCTTATATGCTGTTCTGATTTTTGGCAAATTTGATGGCATGCAACTTTCTAAAAGGAACACATGCTCTTTTTATGCTCCTGAATAGCTTTGAAGACAACTTCAGAAGCACATAGTAGAGGCAATGACACTCACAAAAGTCGGAAAGTGAAAACAAGTCAGTTGGCTTGTTGAGAATTCTTGCTGCCAAAGAGTAAATAGCATGTATACATCTGAGACTGGGAAACCCAGAATCTGCAAACATGTGCTGCACATCGGATTTCTTTAGAAAGTTATAACTTTGCTTGTCAATAGGCCCATTTCACAGTCCATTTGACTCATTGACTGAAACTATCACTAGCGGCTGGGGAGTTTTTGTAGACTATAGCTGTCTTTAAACACTGACCAAGTGAAGCATGCACACACTCCTGCATAGCTTATCCCTGACTAAGTATAACTGCTTGCCACAATCTTTAAGTGGTGCAACAATTTATGTACTTTCAGTAAATACCTTTTAGAATTATTCCTTGAACGTTCATAACCTATTAAACATCCATTAGCTTTTTCTTCCACGCAATGGTTGCCAGAGAAAAAATAAGAAAGAAACGAGCAGCGTTCACCTCCTCAATTCGCAGCCATAAAAAGCGGCCATGTGAGCTGGAGCCGATTTTATCATAGCCATGCCCTGGAGTTAGCAAAGTGCAGGGCACTCGCTGAGTTCCACACGCTGTTATGGTTCAGCTATTCCGATCACTGCAGCAATTGGGCGCGAGCCACTACCCGAATGCGTGTGGAGGCATTGATTGTCACAAGCCCAAATCGAATGCTCACGCAGTGCTCGTGTCCACTGTATGAGCTGCATTCAAATGTTGTCACTGTGGGGATCGCAAAGCTTGATGAAGAAATCTTGGGGATCGCATTGTTAACAATGCCAGCAATGTCATACCCACGACTTCGTCATCTAGTTTTGTGAAGGAGACTGAAAGAAAACATCCGCTTTTGTTCTTAAAGACAAAGAAACTTCTTGGTCAGTGGTGTTGCGTGCAAGTACTTTGGTCCCACTAGTGCCAGTAAGCTTCTGTAAGGTGAGAAATATTCCAACCCAATATCAATGCGCGGCCCCTTTAAAAGTCTTCTGGGAGACTCGATGAAGTAACAATTCGCTAACTCACAGGGACATACCGCCTCAATCCTGACAAAAGTAGTTAATTGGGCCACTTTTTGTGGAAGACCATTTTCCAATGTGTTTGTTTGTATTGCTAGTTTGTCAAGTGTGTCTGGCGGTGTTTCATTTCGCCGACTTCAACCCAAAGTCAGAAACGAGAGTTTCATTTTCACCTATGATACTTGTCAGAACAGGCGAATGAACTGCTTGTGGCCCGGGTGCTTTCAACAGGTCCATGATGCTGGCAGCGGGAGAGTGCCTCGTGTCCTTGCGAGACGAGCCAACCCTTGCCCTGATCCGTCTGTCGCACGAGGAGGGCAAGCTGACATTGACCGCAGACGCCATGGACCCTCTGATCGTGGATGCCGCAGATCCCGATGCGCATTCCAAGACATCCTTCCCTGTAAAGTGAGCATCGACCGACAGAAGTGCCTTTGCGAAATAAGTGAGCATACAGAAGTTTTCATGTGCTGCGTCAGTCTCTGGATGCATTAGACTTCTTCCAAAATCGAAGTGCCCCATTGCAGCGAAATACCACGCAGTGCACTCTGGGAACTAGTTGGTCACTCAGTTTCGGTTTCGATTGAGCAGCTTCATTTCATGCTATCACGCCATGACCGAATGCACTGCTTGCTTTTTCGATTATCCAACTTTTCACGAATGTACAATACACTCATTCTCGAGCGATACAAAACAAAGATCGGGATACAAAACGAAGATCGGGGCACTTTCCTTGGTTTCCGAAGCACCGTCTATTGTGTGTGCGTTTGCAAACACAGTAAGACGTGGCTTAGTCACCTCGCCCGACGAGTGCATCTTTGAGCTCAATTTCAATAATCCCATCTAGTACCAGTGAACTACAACTGAAATTTTGTCACCTTGAACCTTACAGATATTTTATTTGCCAAACATCCGCTTCGTGTTACTTGATTGGGCGAAAAGCAAGCCGCATCCTCATAGGAGTATCAAAGTTGAGCCCAGCATTGACGCTTGAACTTTTAAGGAGACGCAATAAATTCGACCTCACTACTGCACAAAAGTTACTATGATGTCTCTCTTGTGTCATCATATATCTCCCACTCAAATTTTATGCTGATAGGAGGTTATGTTTTTGCAAACTCTGAGATCGGCTAGCTACGACTGAGGCTCTAACAAGCGTCCCCTACTCATCGTTAAGCATTTGGGGACAAGCTTTTACTGACGCCCAAGATCTGTGTCTGAACGATGTGTCTGAAATTATCTCGGCATACTCAGTCAGGAAGAACGCAAACGCATAACAAATATTATGGCCATTAACAACCGTCAAATGCAGTTTGAATAATTTTGTTAGTTTGCCGCACCGCATAGGGGGGTTCACGCCCGTCCGGCGCACCTCCCACGAACGGTGCAACATTCTTCGCACAAGTGCTCGACCTTTGCTTTCTTCAAACAGTTTGTATGTGCGAATGTGCCTATATGACGGCAGGATAACTATATGCAGTGTTGAATATTAGTGGAACGGAAGAGGGTGGGGACTTCGCTTTGTGCAGTGCTGCGGGTCAGTACACATAAGAAATAAGAAGTGTGTTCAAATTGAGCTTTTCAATGGCGCCTCCGAGTTTTACCTCGCGTACTCAGGCATATTAAGAAAACAGTAATTGCAAGAAGTTATATTTCGTCCATGAACGCACAGAAAAACAAACTTCCTGACCAGCAACACTAATGCGAAGGTGCGAGCCTGATATATGCATACTTATTGGTGGTTACAGCGTGTTGACTCATACACAAGCAAGATCCTCGAGCTTCACAACGTCGAGATTCCCAGCACTGGCTCGTTCACATAGCTCGAAACACTAACAGAAAGGCTCAAGTACAAAATACAACAAGCCTGTGTTAAGATGAGCTATACGTCTCGGGCTTATGCTAAAGCTTTGAGTCTGGCCATTTAGGTTAGTTTAGAGACAAAAAATGACGCTCTCGGGACCAGAAAGCATGAGATAACGGCCGTTAATAGTCCACGCTCTGCGTATAATCTCTTGTCGATCGAAACCGAAACCTTGCGACTCCCCTCCCTGGCCAACTAGTTCCCAGAGTGCAACGCACACAGTGTTGCATGCAGGGGTTTATGGAAGTAGTGTATTGACGGCATGGCGAGGCTTTACACATTTAGGATCTCAGTTCATCTTTTTAATCTGAAATGCAGGTTTTACCCCTTCAAACTCTTATCTCAGTTACATTGTAGGCAACGTTTCTCAGACTTTGTGATCTTGACGAAATGCCACCAACATATTTTCTCAATTGGCACCTCTCATCACCGTGATAGCCATGGACACATCGCAGCTGAGCGAAATTCAATTAGATATGTTGCGCTACAGCGACAGCATGGGGCTGGTCCCAATAGTCGGCACGCCTGTTGGAAAGTGCGGCGACTCTTTGGACGAAGACTCCAGTTCTTCGTCGGAATCGGACAGCGAGGACGGAATATGTATGGAATATTCTGAGCATACACGGATAACCTTAGACCTGGGGTGCTTTGTACCAGTGAGTCTGCACCAAGTCGGTGCTTCGACGTGGTTTCTCGAGTGGCAATCGGAGAAACTGAAGCCGTTTCTTTCTAAGCTCCGAACTGCACAAACTGTAATTTGGGCACTTGGAACTAGTGCGTTAGCTAGGACTTTGTTTGTTGTGCCTGGAGTGACTGGAACAACCGCTCTGCGCCTTGCGTACACACTCCTGCAACCACCGCAAGAAGTGCAGCAGGTCGTCAGCACGACAGCCGCTTCTCCGCCGCCGTCGGCCGTTTCTGCGGTATCGCTAAAAAGAAGGTGACGCGCTGTCACTCACTGGCATAGCAGAAAATGCACAGTGTTTTCAATGGGCTCAAGCTTTATTAACTTTTATTTTGTCAGAATAAGCTCGTAAAGCAGAGCGGATGAAAAAAAGAATAAGATGCAGTACACCATTTTGGACAATCACAACCATGAAACATGACTTTACTGATAGTACAGATCCCGCCACACGCGTTTTCTACGATTGCAGAGATATACCAACGTAGAAATATAATTTCGAGATCACATAGTCATTGCGATCATTCAGGAATGCTAACACTAATTAATCACTTTTCTTGGGTGACGAAAACACCTCAAAATTCGCATCCTTCATACACGCCTTTAAATGCAGTACGCACCAGTAATACCTTGAACTTGAGCACACGCATGGAATGTGCAAAATAAGAAATCCGGGCGATGTTCGAGGGCACAAATGTTAAGAAGGCACCACTGTAGTTGAAGTAAACAAAGACAACGGGTGAGTGTTTCTGCTGTCTTGAGGGTGCCGCCACTACATCGCCGCACGAGCAAATGGATCTTCCCTTCTAGGACGTGCTGAAGGATAGCACTCTACGCGGAACGATAAGCTTCCACCACGCCGGCCATGTCAACGATCACCACCGGCGCCATGTTTTTCACCAGAGAGCAGGAACCGCGAAACGGCGCAGGCGCAGTCATACCTTTTTCTTGCTTCGTTTACCACATGATAGATGGCACATAGCTCCAAGCATTATAAGATTTGGCAATTTCCATCACATCTCTAATTATTCAACAAAATGTGGATCAGAATATTCTTTAATAAAACTTTGAAGAAAAATTCACTGGCTATTTATTGTTTATGACCGCAGTGCTGGTGAGGTATGCTCTTATACAATAGGCGACGTGGATTTGGCTGGCGTGCATTGGCACCGGGGATGCATCGTAGTGAAAATGCAGAGAGATTTCGAATGAAAGAAGGTATAGTTCTATAGCAAAAATTTCTTTTTTGGCTGTCTATTTTCGTGTTTTGGTTTTCTTTTCACACATTTTACGATGTGCGGTGCATGAAATTAGATTTCAAAATCGTTTCATGGTCCCTTTAAGCTGAGAGGGTAGCCAGGGCTACAGACACCGAATCATTACTTTGAAACACACTTTGTCAGAACGAGCGCTTCCACAGGCTCCGTTCACTTTTAAGCCGAAAGGCTGCGAAGGCTATGAGCCCAAGCCAGCCCGCTCTCCTCACTTTGGGCCACGCTTTTGCAGCACGACCTCTCATTTCCCGAAAGTACACTTTGAAGCCGCATTCGTGTGCTTTATTCTTCGCTGTTTTGTAAACTTAAGGGTGGACAGAGTATAGGACAGCATTTATCGAAGCATGGAGTAGGTTCTAGTTCGCACTTGTCGGCCTGTAAGCTTAAAGGTGAACATAGTGTACTAAGGGAACGTTCGGTTGTATGGTGGGCATCATTGCGGCGCACAGATAAGCGAGAATAGTTGCGCTTAAACTCGGAGGACTCCTTATTAAGGGGTCAGGACAATAGAGCCTGAGGAACCCTTGGGAGTATTTCAAGGAGAACCTGGGCTCCCAGAAACCCAGTTTGATATTCCGCGATGCTCGGACGTCTTTTCATTTTGTTGTGGGCATACTTTCACTGTCTCATTTGCCAACAGGCTGTGGGGCAACGACTATAGGGCGGTCGAAGTGTCACCGCAGGCTTCAGCATGGTTCAATCGGTACCTGAAAAGAGAGGACGTCCGTCTCGTACGGATCCTGCAAAACGACCAGAACATTGCCCGTGGCAAGAACGGCACCATCCCGGTAATCAACTCTCGTTTCATAGAGCCGAACATTCTTCGGTGCCGGCTTGGGGATACCTTGACTGCGCCAAGCAAGTAAATTCCTAAGCAACAGTTCAAAACTAAACGCAAAGGAGGGTGAAGCTAGTAGGAAGAATGGGAAAGGAACTTCCTGGCAGCCTTGGAGTGATAGCCCACTATATGCTTTGGTGCCGGGAGCGCGTCCCCGATTGGTGCGTTTGGCGCGTCTTCGGAATTGGTCCCTCGGCTTCCACCCGACGACGCAAAAGTGTCCCGCTGTTGCTCGTCACGATCCTGGAGATAATGTGCCCACGCGGTTCTTCAGTCTCTTGTCATCCCGTTTTTTGGCCGCCAGTTCCGTGCCTGGCGCACGAGTGGCAACTCCAGCACTTCCCACATGCGCTCGACACACTTCTACAAATCGTCAAACCAGCAATCCCGTTGGCGTCCAGCAAGCCTCCAACCGGAACCACACGTCCATTTTTACCATTCAAAAAGCCAATCAAAACATCCTAATTAATTACTCGACCCGTCTTGATGACCAGCACCTGACATCATGTCCCTCCCGGTTGCGCAACTCGCCCGCACAGACCGCATTGGTGCAGCCCTTCCAAACCCTTCGAAACAAATCTGCAAAGCCCCTAAAAATACACCCTGCATGCACATACACATACCGTAAAATTCTGAGCAAGCGCCCCCCCACGTGCGAGTCAAAATTACCAGCAAAGTGGGGGGAGGGGCGCTATCCCAAAAGGGCACCAAAATTCAAGTTGGCAACAACAAAATTTTCTTGCAAGAAAAAAAAAAAGCGCAGTGCATATGGATTTAAAATTTTATTCATCTCTGGGAACATGGGCTTTATTAGGCAAAAGATTTGCCACTGCTATGTTAATCACTCTCAAAACCATCAAGACTCCTCCGAGCCGGTCGCAAGAAAAAGTTTGCAGCATTCTGCTTGAAGTCCGTCTAGGTCTTCTGGCACCACGGCTCCAACATCTGCCAGTCCGCCATGCTGGCCGCCATCCTCCGAGCCATCAAGTGCGTTGGTAATGCCGCACCCCTTGAAGGAGCGTGCCACTGTCTCCTCAGGTACAGCGGCCCATGCCTCGGCTACGAAATCAAGCACATGCTGCCACGACGGTTATTTTGACGGCATCTTCAGAAAGAAGTCGCTTGCTAGCAGTTCGTCCTGCACTTTTTTCGCGCTCCACGTATTCAAAGAGCACGTCGTCCACTTATTCACTGAACAGCGGCGCGCCGTTACTTAGCTTTGTCGAAGTTTGGTTTTCCTCTAGTTTTGCTGTAGCAAATGGTCAAAATTCTTGTCCCATTCCTGTGTCCGTTTCCGGTCAAGCTTGAAGTTTCGAGAGGTCTGGTGTATGTTTTTCCCGTTTTTGCGATGCCATTGGATGATCTCGATTTTTTTTGCCACTATGTAGGAACGCATAGTCGACCTGACACCGCCAAAACAAAGCGACAATGGCGTGTGGCCAGTGTGGTGACCGGGCTGATGGGGCTGCAAAGTAGGATTGGATTGGATTGGATTCTTAGGCTCCACTTGACAGGCCAGTGTTGCCTGGCGCAGTGCGTGGTAAGGGTGCGGAGCGGGGAGGGTGGGGTACTTTCCTGGAACGGCGCGGAAATGGGAAATTAGCAGTGAATTTGAGAGCGAGGGGGGCTCTTGATCAGGTGGAGGCGCTTGCTCAGAATTTTGTGGTATAAATATATATATACCCGTGACGACAACAGCGACTCTTCTGTTTGCTCGCCTCCTTTGCCAGAATTTCTATGACCGACCGCCAGAATCGCAGCATTTGACAGCAGGACACTCAGGCTTTTGTGAGGTCATTCGTTGCCACTTCAGAACCACTTACAATGCATGGGCGGAATAGGACGCTCTTGCAAGTCGAAGATACGTTGCAGGTACTGTAGTTAGGCTACGGTGCCAGGATTACGTCTCTGGCCGGGGTGTTTAGCGTCCTACTCCGCCCATGCACTGAAGGTGGTCCCAAAGTGGCAACAAGTGACGTCACAGAAGCCAAAGCATCACACTGTTGAATGTCGCGACCCTGGCGGTTGGCCGTAGAAGTTCCGGCAGAAAGCACGAGCAGTAGCGAGCTTCGTTGTCGTCACGGCGTCCCAACTTCCGGGTGTCGAAGCTTCCTTGGGCTGTCAAGCTGGAGGCCGACGTGCGGCGGAATGTACTTCTGCCACACCCACCACCGCCGCTGCAACACCGCCAGGTTCGCGGCCGGCGACAGCGTGGACACTTCTACGTTGATGTTGGGCGGAACTCGAGTGACCACTTTTTTGGGCGCAAGAAATTGATTGGTCGGAGGCGCGTTGCAGGCACCGTAGTTACACTAAAGGTCTATTCACACGATGCATCTTGTTGGCGAATCTTGTGTTGCGAAACTAGGTTTCGGGAAACAGATTCCCCGTCTGAATGCGACCGAAAAAGTGGCGCGCCTCCGAAAAAAGTGGCGCGTCTTCCTCGCTTCTGGACCAATTTTTCGCTGAAATCTCATCGAGGCCTGTCAATCACCCAAAGGAGAAACGCGGGCACTGCCAATGGCCGCTTGACTTTGCTATGACGTCTGACCTTCGAGGAGGAGCGAGCTTTTGGAGGAGTCTGATTTTTGGCCAATTCCGTATCCGAGCCAAAGCCGAAAGAAAATAAACAAAAATGGCGAGGGACAAGTGGTGCGTACGGGCGACGTCCTGCTCAGCATCAGGTGTGTGAACGGCGCCTACAGTACGGGTTGGTGGCGCGGTACAGATTCATCAATAATTGCGACAAGTGCAAGCACCGGATATAAACCTGGTGACTGGGAATAACTTTCTTTATTAGCGGTGCAAAAATGTCCGAAATGCTTCGAGATCATCTGCCTGTTCTTTGACGTTCGCGGTCTTTCCCAAGTTTGGCAGGACTAGTAAACCCAGTGAGCCGAACCTGACGAAGTTCATTGAGTGGTATTAATAAAACAGACTGCTTCTTCACACAGTGCGTACTTCATATCATTTTGATGAGAAAGAGAAACGATTGGTATTCCCGTTGCAGATGACAAGGTTTGGCGAAATTCTCGTGAGTCAATACGTCACAGGTTTCGCGCGTCAAACTCCACGTGTGAACAGGCCGATTTCGCGAAATCTTGGTTTCGCTAAACTGTGGCGCGTGGAAAAGATGCATCGTGTGAATAAGCCTTAAGAAACTTCACTTTTGAAGGAGCCGGGCCTCGTAGCAAAACATTGGCCACCGCTTCAAAACTTCTGACAGGTTATAGTTTTTGAGTTATGTAAGAGGGGTACATTTCTGAGTCAATGTAATTTGGCTTAACCCCGTATGCCTCCAGTGATCTGTAAATAATAGCCTGTTGTTACTTTCTCAATGTTTTTCCTGTTGGCCCAAGTGTGGATATATGAGCGAAATGAGAGAATTATATTGGGGAATAATTTAATCTACAGTGGCCCGTGATACAATTGGCCCAATGGAGTGCTGGCTGAGGTGGTAAAAAAATTACAGTTGGAGTCGCATCTGACACAGCAGATTCAAGGGGTGACCGGTTGTCCTGGCCCCCCCACCCCCCTCTTTTGAATGTAGCATATGTAAAAGTTTAGGGTGGCAAAGGGTTTGAAGTGTTTTCTCAAACATCCGATACGCTAACCCACCCTCTCGAAACCCCTGCATCTGCCTTTGGGCACAGTAAACCATTACAGGTAAACAGGGAACGGACCACTGCTGCAATGTACTTGAAGGGTGTTGGTATACTCGATTCCGCACATAGCATGTTACATGGGGAAGGTTCAAAGAAAAAGCTCACAGTTTTGGTAAGTGCTGGCACTGCAAATGAAGCCAAGGTTCATCCTAAAGCAAAATACTTGCGCTTATGGCCACAGCACATGTTAGAGCAACACAGGATGTAGCAGTGATAAGCTGTGGCGAACTCTCTTTCTTGCAGTGGGCCGGTGGTTAGTGCTGCTGATGTGGCACCTTAGCTCTTATGCTCCCCTTTTGGGTTTTGCAACCACCTGTTTTTTTTAGTTGTTCGGTACTTGTCCAAAGGACACCCGACCAAACAGCTGTAGTTTATTGCCGGTGCGTGGCAGCTTATCAGTGTTTACTTAAAAAAAACCTGCCCGCTGTGCCTCTTGCAACACAGTGCTTCCAACCTTGTGCCGCATTGTTCCGTCCCCAAGGTGGCTTTCCACGACACCTCAACCATCCACATGCTCTCAGTGGCGTCCCTGAAAGACTTCAATTCGAAGCTGCCGGAGGGCAATGTTGAGATCACCGAGCGCACCTTTCGCCCCAGTTTTCTCATCGAGGGCTGCGACGCTTATGCTGAGGTTTGTATACATAGGGCCTACCTTGTCTCATAGCTATTTTTTGGAAGGAGATTTGGGCGGTAAATATGTTTTCAAGGCTTTGTAATGACTTACAAGCTTAGGGGACACAGTCGGTTTTGATAGAAAATGATGCAATGTTTGTGGAGCCATTTTTATTTCTTCAGTGGCTAGGTAGATGCATGTAATGGGCCTACAAAGATACCTCGAAAACCTGGTCACAAAATTTCAGCAGCACTGGAACGTAATGTTTGACGAGACTCGCAGAAAAATTTGTTTGCTGCGCAATTTGCATCGTGTACTCACTGGGTGCCGTAACCTGTTTGTGCATATGGGGACAAAGTGCTGACAATAATCGTCCTGCAGTGTGTCAGGTTAATGGTAGAAGACTGATATGTAATCCACAAGCACCAAGGTTTATACAAATTGTCACAACCAGGCTGTTTTCAGTCAGATCGACAACACTACAAACAAATGCTGTTTTCATAAATTGGTCGACGTGGGTTTCGTTAAAATCATCACAGCCATGCTCCCAGATATGTGATAAACCTGCAGTTACGTGCTCGGGCTAGTTGTGCCCTACCTGTCCTGTCTGGGCATTGCAAACAAGAGTTCTTTCCTGGGGTTGTCCTGCTGCATGAAAGCGCAGAATGTGGGTTGACAATTAGCTGCCGGCAGCTCGGGCTTTTATTCTTTAGCTCTGTTGATCACAATGTGAATGAACTCTCTTTCAAATTTGAAGTGTTGAAATTGCATTGTGCTCAGAATGCTAGTACGGTTAAAGCCACTATCAACGTTGAGAGGTTTTTTTTTGTTTGTTTTTTTATTATCTAGGGAACAGTAAGTTAAGAATAAGTTACGAAATATTGCTGAATACAAATCGTTTCCGCCACCGTTCTGTACGCAGTGCCTTGCATTTCTTGACCGCCAGTGGCCCGCTACGACAAGGCCGGCTATGTTAGCCGGCATTAGGGAATTTATTTGCCGAACCCTATTGCTGCAGAGTGTGTGTTGATGGCGGCATCTGCTTGTGGTTGAAGAACAAAGGAAGTGAAGGCTGCAAGCCGCCAAGATTTCCATTGTTGAAAGAACTCATCTGCAATCACCACCACTGTGGGGCATTACTATGACGCACAGTTCTAGCAATAACCAATCGATTGATTGATGAATTGATTTTTGTAGGACCATTGGATTCGTGCCAGACTGGGAGATGCGGAAATAGCATTTATCGAGCGTTGCAGCAGGCAAGTGGCAACCATGGAACTCCTAAATTTTTGGAAAGGGAGCATAGAGACAAACTTACTTTGGCTGATTATGAAGGTCTGATTGGCTGAAATGTTAAAGGCTGCATTGCGCTCGAGTATCAGTGGAGTATGTAATTTTCTGGCCCAAGAACAGGAGCAAAATATAAAAATGATTTTGGATCCAGGAAAGTCGGCCTTAACTTGAATTTACTCAAGGTAGCATTAGATTTGCACGTTAGATTTACACCATGTACTGTTTGCCGCAAGTGTAGTATAAAGTGCTTGTTTAGGGAACCAGCTGAACTGATAAGCTTTGGCACACATGAATAGATCTTGCTTGAATTACAAGGTGATAAAGCACTGATCAGATGTCATGTCTCCTATTCACACTAACTGTGTCGTGCAGTGTAGAACTGTTTCTAAATTGTCTATTGTGCTGGATCTATAAAAAGATGTTTCAGTCTGAAATTGATCCTGAACAGCAGTGTCAGTTAATTTTCATGTTGTAGTTTTTGGATTTTATCCAAGAGGTTTCAAGCTTCAGGTCTTATTGCGGTCATCTGCAAGTCTCTATGTTGGTCTTTGCGTTCGACGTAAACAAGAGACGAAAGGGTCCCTTTTAAGCAACCTTCGTTTATCAGCTTCTTCAGTCAAAAGGGTAAGAGCCACATTTATCAGAGTTTCCTTGCTCCTTAAGGCATGATAATCTGGATACTAAGTGAAAGAGTTAGTGATAGCATACTACTTGAGCTGTTTGAGAAGTTATTTTGTGCCCCTTGGAGGCCTGAATGGGTGCACATTTTGGTCGGCTTTACTGCACAGTTGTCCGAATTGTCTTTTCAATTGCACTGACTCTCTAACACGGTTATCTTTTTATGATAGGTGCGTTCTCACTACAGTTGACCCGAACACCGGAACCAAGGCAATGGAACCACTGAAAACACTCCGGACGTAAGTATAGATGTCATTGTATATAATTGCTGTCTGTTCTGGTGATAACAGAAAATGTGCTGGAACATTCGGCAGATGTACACTTGGGACTTGTGTTTCTAAGGAAACATGCTGGCACAAAGCAAAAATTATTCCTTTATTTTAGCTTGCTTGTTCCACAGAACCTAAAGAAGTTTGTAGAAACCATATATTTGTATGTGTTCTTGGTTGGTCACTCTTTGGGGTATATCAGCTTATCAGTTTTCTTTAAATTCTCAAATCACACTGACCTTGATTGAGCTGACCGAGTCTTTCCAATCTTGCGTAATACAAATAAGGACAAAGAGAAAAATCAGTTCTGATTTATTTTATTTAAAAGTGTGACAAATATTTAGGATTTGCTGAAGAATAAAGCCACTTTAAAAAATTCACTAATTTTTTTTTTTTTTTAAAACGTGGAGTTTTTTTTATGTCCAATGACGGAAAGTGTGAAGGAATTGCATTGCATATCTGGGTCGCTAAACTCGTCAACAAAAATATTCTTTGTGTTATGACATAGTGGGGGGAGGAGCCGAAAGATTGCTGAGAAGTTTTCTTTTCTCACAAACCCGCAGATCCGTCTGTCTTCGTGACGTTTTTTGTTGAGAGGACCAAAAATCCCTACGCCTCCCTAGGCACCGAACAAGAGCAGCACGAGAGAGAGCGCGGAGACGACCGTGGCTCATTGTGACGTCACGGCAAAGATTATCAGCTGCGACCGTCATGTTTGATGGTGTCTAAAAAGCAGGATGGATGCTTGGGAATTGCATTTTAAAATCAACACCGTCGAAGTTGATAGTCTGGTATCGTTCTTATTTCCGCCGATAAAGCAGAATTTACTAAAAAACGTCCCTGCCGTTCTTTTGATTTATCTCATTAGCCCGACGTGGCTAGGTCACAACCAGCCGACTACCGTTGTTCACTTTCGGGTGAATTTCGCCTCCGGGCAGTTGTCCGTTCATCGGCGGGATAAAATCATTTTATGGTAGACATTCGAAGATCAGTCCGTCTGGGATTAAGTATGTTTATCAACGGAAATAAGGAAATAAAAGTAATGTCAGATTGTCAATATTGGCGGTGATGCTTCAAGAATGCAAGGACACTAAACTTGACATCGTCGATTGGAACACGCACCATCAAATTTGTCGTTCACAACTGATAATCTTGACGATGGAACGCGAGCTGTTTTAATTCCAGAATCTCTTGAGCCATTATTTCGAAAATTGCAGGCTGTGCTATTCCTCGTCATTGCTCATTGGAACACCTCTAAGCAGGGTTGTCGAAACAGGAGGATGGGGAGGGGGGGGGGATTCAGCCCCCCCCCCCCCCCTCCCCCAGTTGTGTCGAAAGAGGGGGCAAGGGGCATAAGGGTAGAAGGGGGGGGGGGGGGGGGGGGGGATCGCTTCAGCCCCGAACCACCATAGCATTTCAGAGAGTTATAATAAAATATGAGGGGAAAGGAATATCCCCCTTCTTCACCACCATCACCTCCTCTCTTTCTCTCTCTCCCAAACAATTTCTACGGCCCTTCTTGAGACTTCTATTTGTTTGTGCGTGTGTGTGTGTGTGTGTGTTGGTCGTACCTTAATTCTTTCTTTAGAGCGCAGCTCTTCGGCATCCGTTTCCGGGTTTCGCGGCGTGGGCGTCGTCGTCGGTGTAACCGGCCCGCTAAATTTCGCGCGAAATTGACGTCACATGACCTCAACACCAATTCAATTCCCAGCTACGTGACTTCAACGCCAATTCACTTCTCCACTAGATTGCCATGTGATGTCCTTTTCCCTGCTAAATTTAGCGGAGAAACTGAATGGGAGGAAGAGAGGAGGAGGAGGGGTGTACCCTCCTCCCCGTGCCTTCCCTTAATCCTCCTCAAGAGTTGAGCTCTAATTTCGCATTACAAAGATTTGTAAACATCTTTAATTTTTTATATTTCCCTTTCTTCGGCTTTTTTTTTTTTTTTTTTTTTTTTGTTATCCCCCGCTTTTCCTCATCTCTCATACATTTCCGACGTCTCTGCACAAACCGCCTGTGGGTGACCCCGGTGGCGTTGTTGACAGTGGCGGAAGGTGAGCTCTATGAAGCCGCCCGCGTACACCGCGCACGGCTCCAAACATCACAAGGTTCAATCTTCGCCTCGATTCCGAAGCGAAGATTTTGGCCTCAAATAACTCCTTCCCAAAGTTGTGAAACGTCACTTTGTCGTCACCAATAACTTCTACAAACGACGATCTTGCGACGAGAAAGTTCAGAGTATTTACCGGCGGCCTAGGTACAATCTACACATCATTGACTCAAACACGGCGTAGGGATGTAGGGACACTCGGGCGAGACGTCATCAGTGCAGCCGTTTAATCGGCTGGCACCACGGTGTTGCTCGCACGCGCTTCGATGGAGCTCGCTACGACTTTGTGTTTTACATTCTCGCTGGAATTTGAGCACCGAGAGAGCTTGGATGATTGACACCTCGCTCGGCTTGACGTCAGCGTCGCGAGAGTCCAATTAGCGCGTTCCGCAACTTTTGGACACAAAGTTGTGCTCGACGAGTTTAGCTACCCTGGTGCTCATGTAGCATCAGCTATATGAACTCCACAATTTGGCATCTGTATGGTATATCTGCAAAAACTGAATTTTCGCAGTTCTGTCATGTTCTATAACCCATTTGGAAAAAGCCAATAGTAACCCATTCCAATGCAGAGCTGGGAGGGATCCCAGTGAGTGCAATAAAGCCTATTGAGTTCGACTTGGTGATAGCCTTTGTTTGTAAAGCTTTCTGCATGTGCCATGCTTATCTGTTTGCTGTGTCACATTCATTTCTAGACGCGGATTTTTTTTGTTTCCCTCTCGCAGATACCGGGTTGACAGGTCGAAGTTTGGGAGGAAAAAGTACAAGATGCAACCGTTGTTTGGGGTGTGCCAGTATCTCGTGAGGGACGGTACCGTCAGTGTGGGAGACGACATATACGCCGTTGCGTCCACGAGACCGCTTCTCTGAAACCTCGGAATTGTCCATCAAACCACCGTTACTCTTTGTGCAACATAGTTTTTAAGAAACAAATCTTGTTGATAAGGATCACACTCTAAAATGAATTTTATACATCTTTATGATGTGTTTCACTGCTACTGGTTGTCCCGTTTATAATAATCCAAGTGCCATATTTTTTTTAGTCGGAGTGTCCATTACCCTAATCCATCTGTCAACTAATTTACCCCAATTCGCGATCAACTTGATCTATGTGCCAACAAGCTTATTCCAGGTCGTCATAAATTTAATCTTGATGCCATTAATTTTAATCGAAGAGTTGCTCAATTTAGTCAGTTCATATTGTGTGGATGTACAACGACTTCGGCTAATATGTTTTAACTGTTTGAGAGCTCTAGGTGCCTCTAAGTCATGAAGTTTTTTTCTGTAGCACACAGTTCATATATAGCTCTTTCCATTATTTTTATAATGTTTTAGAAAATACAATAAAGTGCACAAGAATAAAAATTATGCTGTTTGGCCAGTTTTTAGATGGTATAACTTTCATCAATAGCGATTTGATTACTGAGTCTATCATGGACATTGTTACTGCATCTCTTAAGTTTTACCTGAATCTATGGACATTTCACAGTACATGAATTAGTAAAATGTTTCAGAATAGCCTAAAATCTTAACAACATTTGTGAGTACCAAGGTTTCAAGATGTTTTACTCTGAAACCACATTTTTTTGTTTGGGATATTTGCAATTTAAATGTGTTTGTCGCATTTATTTACCGTGTTTTCCGGTGTATAAGACACTTTTTAATTTTTTCTTGAACATGTGAAAAGGAGGGGGGGGGGGGGGGGGGGGGGGATACGGTACATGGAAATTCCCGTGACATAGGAAGCAATTCAACTCCAACCACGCATAGTAGTTGTCAACGACAGGTTGCCTGCAGTCCCTGCAATCATAAATGACAATATCCGATTGCTGCACCATTTGCATTGAAGTACTTACCCAGCAACGTTTCACCAAGCAAAACAACAAATTGTTGTGTGTATGTTTTTTTATACAACCGGAAGTTAGTCTGCCTCAGCTGTAGAGCAATTTAGCCAGTGTGGTGCAACCGCTAGCCTGGGGTCTTTAACGTGCACCACGCAGTAGTGGTACACGACCGCACGCCAGTACCATGCTCATCCAGATCGAAAGGGCGGAGGCGGGGATTGAACCCAGGATCCCTGGGTTCTGCAGCGCGAGCTTTCACTCCACGTGCTCTGAGGTGGTCTGTGCTAGACTGCTCGGCCACCGATCCCCCATTTCACCAACATTTCACAAAAAATTAAGAATTTTCTCCAACAGTTTAAATTGCAAAACTACTATACTATCCCATTGCCCGCTAGACTCCCGATTTGTCACGGCAAATAGGATCATACACATTTTTAAAAAATAATTCGATAGTCGCTTTGAATGACGTACTCTTCGATTCAATCTTCATTAACAGCAAGTTTTCGCTTCGCAATATTTTTAGTTGTTACTACTTTATTTGGGTAGGCTCTTTGTTGAGCGTGCTTCTCGCCGCGCACTGGTGTGCTGAGGAGAAGCGACATCCGCGGAGTGAACATCACAATCTTTCGCACTTTCAAGGCATCTGTTTGTGTAGCAAATACTCGTGTTTAGGGAGAAAACAGTCCTCCGGGGTGGAATCGTGCATCACATGGATGACTGGTGAAGAAGGAAGAGTAGCGGAGCTGTACTATGTGCCGCCATCTTTGAGCGACGGCGGGAACCAGACAACCGGCAAGTCGGTTGTCTGGTTGCCGCTGTCGCTCATAGATGGCGGTAGCTGTCTAGAGAGTTGCGTCGAGATTCATTTGTCCACGGACACGAAACTGGAAAACTAACCCTTAACAGCTTTGCTGTCAAAAAAAAAAAAAAAAAACAGTATCTTGGTGAGTACTGATGTGAACACTACCCTGAAGTTTTCAACATAGGACCGCAGCTAGTACGCAAGTATTAATGATAAGCCGCAATACCGTGTGTAGGCCTCCAGCTGTACAAGTGATAAAGGGGTGTTAGCTCTGGACGGATGGAAGCTTGCGAGTTACCAACCGCAAAGGTAGCCCTTAAAAAAACCGTGAAATGTTTTTTTTTTTTTTCTTTTTTTTTAATCTTTTATCCTCAGCGCAAAAGCGAAATGAGAATTCACGTGGTCGTGACGTGCTTGGGCTGCGGGAGCTTAACGTTGGCGGTGACGATGGCTTCAAACCTGCATCCTGCTGCACACCGTGGAATTTGTCATTCGCAAGCGATGATAATTGCCTTCACGGCACTCATTGGCCACGAATGTGAATCCATATCTTCGTTGACGAATTGATTGTTGACGAGTGCATACATCGGAGTGACGCATTGCTCGTGCCCATCAATGCGTGAGCTGGGTTCGGCTGACTTGCTTGGGCACCACGGATGCATCACGGTGAAAAGGCGGATAGCGTCATCAATAGTGACAGATGGGCCAGTTGGTACATGACTTATTTTCGGGTCCATATCACAAGAGCGAATGACATTTTAGCGAACGGCGACATTTGAGCGAATACTCGTTTTAGCGAATAACGGGGGCGCGCGTTAACCCATCCGTCGCGCTGCGCTTTACGCCGCTTCGCGGCGACAGTCTGCGGCAACTCATTACAAAAATGTGAACCCATTTGGCCCACCCGAAAACGCCGCTTCGCGGCGTCCGACTATTCGCTAAAGTGTCATTCGATGAAACGTGGGCATTCGCTAAAACGTCATTCGATCAAGTGAGTGCCTCCCCTTATTTTCACATAGCTTACGAAGGAAAGGAGCTAAGAAATAGTCCGCTGTATTTTTAAACTTTCTTGCCGGAAAGCAGGCTTTCGACTTTCAACCCTCTTTTGGCTCACTAAATGATATGCGATTAGTAAAATCCCAATCTAAAATCATTTATCCCAGTCATAAATTTATTGCATAGTCCCTTTAAGCTGAGACCGCAGCCAAACCTAAAGGCACAAGCTATACTTTGATCACCCTTAAAGAGATGCTGAACCTAAATTTGGAGCTCAGAAAAGAATGCTGGAGCGATAGGCGGGACGCTGCAAAACCCCAAAAAGCTCACTCGTACAGCGATATCTTACGGATGGCCGTATTTTGTTCGAAAAGATGTGCGCCATTGAACACGGCCGACGAAGCATGTCGCAGTCACGATTCTCATTCCCTCCGCTTCGTCCCCTCGAGCAGATGTACCGAAGCCGGAAACCAGCTTCCCCTCATTCTCAACTCTTCCAGAAGAATTGTGACGTCACATTCCTCGCTTGATCGCGCCCTTTTCCAAAAATACGGTCATGCGTTTGAGGTGTCGATGTAAAAGTGATGTTTTGGAGTTCGTAGCCTCCCGTTCAACGCTTCTGCGGCCTTATTTTGCGAAATTCAATTTTCGGCTCAGCATCCTTTTCAGCAGAGACTGCGGCTAATTACGAGCACGAGAGCTCGAGGTCGCTGTGCACGGCTGCCGTTCTTGCTCTTTATTTTTTTACAGTTTACCAGCTTTGACTCGAGCTCTGGTAAAAATAGGCATAAAACTTCTTGCGACACTACGTTCGCGTGGCCTTTTTTAGGTATGTATGTTTGGAATAAAACATTTGCAAGGCGTGCCATTTCCAAATGTGTTAGTCCTTACGGCCACATCCTGCACGAACGGTAACAGCTCCAGTATTTACCAAGTCCTCAGCCCAGCACGCGGATGTTTGTCGCCAAACACACGAAAAGCGAACACTGGAAATAACACCGGAAGAGGTCGAAAAAAAAAAAAAAAAAAAGGGAGGGGGGGGGGGGGGGTCCACCTTTTCCTTTCTACAACAAGGCATGAAATTGGGCTAGTAGGTGCATTATGAAAGCTTGGAAACAGCGCACAATTAACGAAGGACAAGAACGAGAAGTGAACGAACACAACGCTAACTGGCAACTGGAGTTTATTCCCAAAGGAACAGAAAAGAAGCGAGATAGATTAAACATAATCAACCCCCTTGAGGCACGCCTCTAAGAACTTAAACAAATTTGCCGAATTTCTTTATAAAAGACACTTGGTCATTCGCCAAAGCCACGGACGGGACACTGACGCACGTGTCCGCTCCGTAGGTGGCAATAAAAAAACGCCTCGTCAATTTCTCTTGTCACTTTGTTGTGGTGACGAGCCAGAAAGCCGGAGAACACATACACCTCTCGTTCTTCGTTTATTTTGCGCTGTTTCCAAGTTATTATTTTTCTATTTTCGATGGCAAACAGCAGAAAAGCTACGGCCCCAGTGAAGCAGCGCGTCGGATCAAAGCATCAACGCAAGTCACCATCGGAGTGCATCTCTCATGTGAAGAGCTGTTTCGTGCTTTGTTGCTGTTTGCTAAGTTCGGCTAAGTTATGCGAAACGGAGTATAGAAATGTCTGAAAAATCTGGAGGGGCGATCGTCCGCCCCACCCCCCCTCCTAAAGTCATTGGATCCATGGAAAGCAGCGCCAAGCCCCCGTATTGTTGCCATTTTTGTTCATAGAATCAGCAGTTTCTCTTTGACATCTCCATCCTTGCTTTTGTTAAGAATGGAACCTTCGGCGACCTTCTTCCGAGTTTCAACGCTGCGGAAACGAGTCAAGACGAGTCCGGGACCGTCGCCCGCTTGTCGGGGCCTGCGCGAAACGAGTCCCGACGAGTCCGGGACCGTCGCCTGCGTGACGGGGCCTGCGGCAACAAGTCTCAACGCGCCCGTGACGTTAGCGGGACGTGTGTGTGTGTGTGTGGTGGTTGGTGCGCTCGGGAAAGGGAGAGAGGCATGGCCGGGTCCATATCACAAGAGCGAATGACATTTTAGCGAACGGCGACATTTGAGCGAATGGTCGTTTTAGCGAATAACGGGGGCGCGCGTTAACCCATCCGTCGAGCTGCGCTTTACGCCGCTTCGCGGCGACAGTCTGCGGCAACTCATTACAAAAATATGAACTCACTTGGCCCACCCCAAAACGCCGCTTCGCGGCGTCCGACTATTCGCTAAAGTGTCGTTCGATGAAACGTGGGCGTTCGCTAAAACGTCATTCGATCAAGTGAGTGCCTCCCGACATGGCCTAACTGCGGAGAACATTGGCTACGTCGCACTGGACGGCCGACTTTGCTGCATCGCACTTGACGGCGGGTTGCTGCATCGCACTGGCTGCCCTGGCGGGGAGTGAGGGAGAAACGGACCCTATATAAGGCGGAGCGCAAGGCTGCTCCGTTGTTCTCTCGGATTTGACGACTGTATCGGTACCATGTAATTAAACCGTTCGTTACGTTACCAAGTCTCCCACCTCCACTGAACCGCTGGGTTCCTCACTTCGGGGAATGGACGTCGTCTCGAGCCAGGAATCTTCCGGACGTGCGGCCTAAACCCCGCCTCGAACACTTTCTAACGACATTTCTCGAATACCGTGATTTCGTTATCCGCCGACCGGCAAAACGAACTATAACGTCTTCGCACTGCCACCACATGCGGCGTCGGTGCTTGACGGCCATTGAACGATAATAATTCATGTCTCGAAATAGGCGAGAACAACGATACCATTGTAAGAAATCTGTGAATATAACCGTGATTAATGAGCGGATCGGATTCACAGTGCCAGATACGCTTAAATTGGCGAGGAACGCATTCAGTACGATCATGCTCCATAACGATCTTGGCGCGACTGGTTCAGAACGACCCTTTCGAAGGTTTGAATGGACCGAAACGGCGATATTTCCATGGAAACAAACCGATCAGCCAATCGCCTTGCGATGTTTCGCTCATCCGTGTGTTAGTAACTGCTTGTGTCCGGCTAAGCAGGCAGAGAAGGCGTTGGGTCTACTTTCCTAGGATCCAGGGGGCTTTACTTCTCCCAAATCGTTCCCCCTGTCCACCTTGTTCCCACCGTATGCCAACTGACCCACCTACACGTCTAACGACTTCGAGCCACAGTACGGTGCGCATTAGCGATGAGATGTTTCGGTGGCGCACTCTGGTGGTTCCTACCCGTGACGTCACAACTCCAGTTGCCAACAACGTGCTCGATGGTGTATGTAAAAAGAACGGCTTGGCGTGATCGCGTTTTTAAACCAATACCATCAATGTTGACAGTCTCACTTTACTTTTAGCTCCGTCGATCAAAGCTGAAGGGAGGTGTCACAATAAAAAAATAATTTACAAAAAAAAATTTAGTGACCGTTTTGTCAGTGCGGAGGGCCAACCACAGCCGCGCTTTTGTTCGCGCACGTCGCCAATACGTGATGCAAAAACAGCTGATCACTAAAAAAAACGGCGTTTTCCTCTTTTTATTTTATAGTTCACGGTTTATTTTTTTTTTTTTTTTTTTTTTTTTTTTTTCCCCGCGGCGAGGTAAGCGGGTTTGCAGGCTCAGAGCGTTCGACATAATTGCTGCGAACAAGCGATCGCCGGTTTTTCCTGTTTCTCCTATCTGATGATCTGCCACCATAATTGCCAGTGCGGCGGAATGTGCTCATCTAGAACAACAGCTTAGGCGGTAACCGTCTTGTCCCCGCATACAGTGTCCCGTAGTTTACGAGGAAAATTAGGGGTCAGGCACTAAGCTGGAGCCGCAAGTTCGCAGAGCGCGCCGATCGGAGTCATCGTCGCGAGAGTCCAATCAGGGGCGCGCGTCGTGAAGTTCGGCCCCGACTTTGTATTTGACGAGTCCTTCGGCCCCTGGAACCTGAAAGAGGGTCTCGCTACGATACTATCTACGTTTCACCGTAAAAGTCAGAGCACAGTCAAAAGTTAGAACGCGCACAGACGCACACATGAAAAGTTAAAAGTCACGGCGCATGTTTGGTTCATCCTGTTATTGATAACATACGGACGGAGAGCGCAGTGACATTCCGCTTTCGGCGGCGTTTGATTGGCCCCATCACTCCCAGCGTCGGCTGCGCTTTGATTTACGGTGAAACGATAGCACAGTTGGCACAGTAGTCTCGCCACACGCACGTCGCTTTGTCGCGTACCCACGCGCTACCGTTACCTTCTGCCAACTCGCGACCTCCTTGCCTAAGCAACGAGACGCGTATTCGATATTTTTTTTCTTCTTCTTTTTTTTTTTTTACGTTGGCACTTTAACGATCTCTTAGCACCGCCTCTTTCAGAGACGCCGGTACTGCTATCGCCGCCGCAATTTTTTTTTTCTTTCGCGTCCAGTCGTCTGTTTTCCGCTCTAGCGGGTAGCCGACTTCGTTCGCTCGGCGCGTTTAGTCACGGACGTTGTAGTACGGATACCATCTGCTCCAACTTGAACGGGTGAGTCTTCCGATACTCGCAACTTATTCGTTAGGTGCCCGTTTTTTGTTTAAACAAGTAAGTGTGTGTGTGTGTGTGCGCGTGCGCGTGTGCGTGTGCGTGTGCGTGTGCGTGCGTGCGTGCGTGCGTGCGTGCGTGCGTGTGCGTGCGTGTGCGTGTGCGTGCGTGCGCGCGCGTGTGTGTGCGTGTGCGTGTGCGTGTGTGTGTGTGTGTGTACGCGTGTGTGTGTTATTGACTTTTGCAGTAGGTGGCGTACGCGACACTAGTTTTGATACGTTACCGCCCCAGATCCAGGGGTATCTTTTAACCGCGTGTCGGGGGTGCATGACATTCGACGCGTTTACCAGTGAACGGTCAAATGGCGTGCAAAGAGGAGGAAACGCAGAAGCACTACAGTAGGCTCGTTCGATTTTCATGCACCTCCTCCACCGGTGCAGAAAAGTGTAGGGCACTGTACTTCCGGTATGTGTATTGAGATACGACTGGAAGTACGCCGCCCTACACTTTTCTGCACCGGTGCAGGAAGTGCAGGTTTATCGAACGAGCCTAGTAAGCTAAACGAAGACATTTTCAACGTTTCTTTTTCTTCTTTTTTTTTCCCCCGCCTGGTTTGTCATATTTTATTCCGTGTTTACGAAGCGCCCAGACTCGCAACAAGTTTAATCTCCAAATGCGCACTTGCTCGTCCTCGTTTCTCAAGAAGCGCAGAGCGTCCTTGCTAAGATGTAGGGGTGTGCGGAGGGTGGCTCGAGTCGAATAAGGCTGCGTCGTCGGTAGCCTCCACAGATGCGAGAGAAAGCCACGACATGTCGATTGTGTTCACATTGTTGAAGCTGGAGATGCCACTACGCTATTCGATTTTCGCACATCCCTACAGTAAAATGTGAAACCAACCCCCGCTTCCGCACATGTGCGTAATTGTCACGCTTGACAAAGTTGTATCGAAAGTATGGCACTCGTCACGGCGAAACGTGGGGTATCAACACTAAAATAGTATTTGCAATCTTTAATTTATGAATTGGAAGGTAAGCGTGTGAATATCCTTTGGGAAAATGGACCGAACGTTATATATGTAATTATTTCATTTAAAGGATACTGCGACTCACGCATGTGGGCCGGGAACATAAAAGGAACATTAATTTATTTAGCACCCATTATACCTAATTTTTCAACGTTTCTCTCAAATGTATTAGACGGTTTTTTTTTTCGTACCAACCGTTTACCGACATGTATGTATAGTATCAAGACTACATACACGTGAGTGGTGGTGTTTTTGCTTTAGCGTTTTTTTTTTTTCTCTTTAATGTATGATGCTGCCGTTCCACCAAAGCATATGTCGGGCGTCAGGACCTCGTCAAACTGCGAAGCACCTTTTAGTCCTGCCATCCTCCTTTTTTGAAGGACAAAAAAAGCTAATAATATTTTTATTCGTTTTATCATTATTAGTAGTAGTAGCAATAGTAGTGGTAATATTTGTATTACAGGTAGTAGTGTTTTTATTATTTGGACTTAAAAAAAATGATGCAAGGTCTTAATTAAACATCGTAACTGTGGGTGTGTTGTGTGTTAATCATTTATCGCAGCGCAGTGCGGATAATGCATGATGAGATTCAAACGTTTGTGTGGGGCCACTGTGATGACATTGTAAGGCGCTGTCCCACAAGCCTTAGCTGGTGTTGACAGACCCGTGCCCCGACCTGAAGAACTCTCTAGAAATAAATATATTGTGATTATTTATTTATTTGTTTTAAGACTCAAGCCTTATATGCCCATACGTGTAGGCAAGAAAGAAAGAAAGAAAAATCGGTATAATTCTGAAAAAAGTCGAGAGTGGTAACGCTGCGCTCAAGGTAAAAGCGGACGCGCCTCAGAAATAAATCACAAAGAAAAGCACAGCAACGCAGATGCTTCGTCACGGGAGCCGTGAAGACTGCGGGGGCGCCGCGCCTGCGCAGGGAGGGAGCGTGATGTCACCGCCGGAGCGCCGTGTGCACTGAATACACATGCACAGAATACAATACCTGCAGAAACAACTTTAATACGTGTAAAAACATTGCTCGAAATCATTTCACCCGCGGGACTACAATGCTTTCGCGTTCCTGCACGTATGTAGTCTGAAGTGTCTTCGGCGTGTTTATTGTCTTGTATACCTCGCTTGCAGCTTAGGCAGAAACAGACCGGCGTCTTAACATGACCGCGGCGAGCCCTCAGATCGGTGTGCTGGCCCTGACAGCAACCCTGGTTGTGGGCACCGTCGGGGCGACGCTGTGGTGGCTGAAGAACAGGTCCGCCAAGTACCTCAAGGTGGCCAAGGTCAAGAGGATCTTCATCTATCCAATCAAGTCCATCATGGGCCTGGAAATTACGACAGCACACTGCACTGTCGAGGGTCCCGTCTACGATCTTCTCAAGGACAGGTAAGTACGCCGGATGTCTTCCGATGCTTGGATGTCTGTTGTTTCTGTTTTTACTAAGTGTGCTAGGATCCGACGCTTGACGCCAGGGCCAGCCTGCTGGAATCAGCGTCTGAGCTGAGACTGTGTGAAAGAAAGCAGGGTCAAAGTTAACGCACGACCTGAGTGGCACGTGGAGTCGAACCTCAAGCGCTCAGGCGCCCCAGGTTTCGCGGGCTTTCTTTCACGCATTCGAAGCTAAAGACGCTGATTCTAGCTAAAATTCTAGCAAGTCGGCCCTGGTTGCAAATCAGGATGTTTGTATACACCTGGAGCTACGCTCGATGAACTGAAACTGGCGTGTGGAGGGACAAGAAACGAGACAACCATACCGAAGTTGTCGGCCTCTTATTTTGTTGCCGTTGTCCGTCTGATTCGACCTTAAGCGGCGGAAGTGACGCGAAGGCAGACACTCCACGGATGCACTTGTCTTGACGCAGTTTCTTCCGGTTCTGGCGAGTCAGTTGCTGCATGCTGTCTGATATTGAGAGAGAACCTTCGATATCGATGTGCGATTTTGACACGTACGATGTTGTTGGATATTAAATAAACCATCGACTAACCGAAAGCACATAGTCACCCGATGCACGCTAAGAAAACTCACGACAGCGCTCGAGGCCTGTGGGACCTAAAGGTGAGACAGAGCGCGCTGTGTTATATGGATAAACCTAGACATGTGATATCACAAAAAAAGATCAATGGTTTAGTGTTCCTCCAGAGTTTATGTTCGGTCGCAAATTAATATCTTTAGTGCACGGTACTTTCGGTCTTCATTTGTTCGGATGATGATTCTGCGTTGGTTTTATCCCCGCGTAATGCCTTGAAGCATGGGGGGGTGTGCTGAATAAATGTAGGAATAATTAAATAGATTTGCTGTGTCTTGTCTTTTGTATTCCGCAGGACCATGATGCTCGTGAAGGGGGACTATTTTGTGTCTCAGCGAGAAGAGCCTTCGCTCGCCCTGGTTCAGATGACGTACAAGGATGGCAAGCTGACTTTGACAGCGGATGCGATGGAGCCCTTGGTTGTCGACGCCGTTGATCCGGACGCGTCTTCAAAACCATCGTTTATGGTGAAGTAAGCAAAGTTATTTCTTGCCTTAAAGAAGATTTTTTTTACTATTTTATGCCACATTCCTTTGATAAGTAACATAGCGTTAAATTCGGAATCACGCGGTTATGTAGTTTATTTATCTAGTATCTATTTCTGAAAAAAAGAAGTATGGGGAACTGATGCAAAAGTTCTGGTCTTATAACAAGGTTCTAGCCTCTGGTTACACTGCTCTGCAGAAACGGAGGCAAAACCAAAAAGCAACACTCGTGAGAATTGTGAGAAACCGTAGTGGACTAGGCTAGCAAGTTGAGATAACTGTAATGAGTAATCCACGCAATATATTACGTCTCCCGTGGGTGTTCATGCCCAAAGTCGCAAAAAACTGCTTAGATATCCAGTGATTTTTTTGTTGTTTCTCCCTAATAGTTTTTTTTTTTTTTTTTTTTTTTTTGGAAAGGGGTAAAATGCTGTGGGGAATGTCGACCGTTGTAGTAAACGTAATCTAGTAAACTCACATAATTGGACATTTGTGAAAACTCTCAGTTCACCGTATTTTCTTCACTCGGTTCAGGTTTCCCCACGATGCGTTGACGAAAAATGCAAATTGCATTACACCTTCCTAAGTTTTTTTTTTTTTTTTTTCTACCAGCAATACTCACGCTCCTTCTATGCTCATGTTGTTCATCCGAAACTTTCATTGTGCCCCAATGACGTACGTGCTAAAATATGTATTACGTACGCATTTATAAAAAAAAAAAGATAAAAACATGTTTCTATTTCCAAGATGGCCTTACATGATCTTTTTTTATTTATTCGTTTTGGGAATTTCATTTATCCGCAGAGGGGGCAGAGATAAAGGCATGATGCCTGACAGCGCCTCTGCCCCCTGCAGTTCATACAGCGGAAGTAACATTACAAACAAGTCACGGGGAGAATAAATAACAAGACAGCCATTGTCATAAAAACAAATAGAAAGTCGTTATAGAAATATCTGAAAAACATATGAAATACAATGACGCAACTCAAGCAACTACCCGGACGGCACATATCTTGACTTCCAATTGTGTACTTTCTCCAGTTGTGTACTTTCGTAATCTGCCATCGCAGTTTACGAAAGTAAACTGCGTGGCAAAGAGACCAAGTCGTTTTTTTCACGAATCTTCCATCAGGGTCAGGGGCAACGAGTACAAGGCTGTCCAAGTTTCGCCAGAGGGGACGAAGTGGTTTCGACAGTTCCTGAAGCAAGACGACATTCGCCTGGTCCGCATTTTGCAGGACGACGAAAACATTGCACGTGGAGCGCGCGGCGCAATGCCAGTAAGCGACTACGTTTCTTTCGCATTTTTTTGCCCCTTCTTTCGAATGTACGTGTTCGCTACGTCTATCGTGTGATGCAGAATACAGGGTAGCATAAACTTACGGATACCGGGCAAAATGAGCCGGAAAAAGCGGTGCACGCATGTAAAAGGCTAACAATTTTCACCAAAAGTGCAGATTGGTAGCTGGTACTGAACTTGCAAAATTTCAACATCTATCTACCTAAACGAACTACTAAAATGTACATGAAAAGTTTTAACTGGTTTTGTGCGGATTTCTGCGCTTTTTGCACAATAACCGAAATGTCTTCTTTCTTTTCCTTTTTTTTATCTTTCGGGGGATTTTTCGCATGGCATATTGGAAGTTAAAACTATAAACATTGGGGCAGATTGCCCCAATCTTTATAGTTTAGTCATTGTTCGGTCATTTAGGGGAATCAAGTATGTCACAACCAAGGACCGCGACCAGGCAAACTGACGAAACTTGCCACGATACAGTGTATACATCCTAAAAGTTCATTCCGAATCCATTGATCACTATCTACCGTTGGAGCCATTCAAGCAGCGCCAAAGTGTATTGTCATGGCGCTCGTCGTCTTTGTCTGTTTGCTATCGACGGTTAAAACAAACACGCTCACAAAAGAGAAACAAAAAAGGATTATGGGGCAATTAAGCTAGGCAAGGTGGCGCAAGCTACCGCCTGTTATAAAGAGTACAAGCCGTTAGAATCCATCCATTCGGCATTCACCGTGTGTGATTGGGTTCGCCGGGAATAGCAACCGCATAAAGACGACGGGCGCCGTGTGAAGATGCATGCACTTTTGGGCGATGCGCTGCTTCGATTGGCTCAATCGGATCGTAGTTTGGGCTGCGGTCGGACTAAGAGTGAAACAGAATATATAGCTCTTGTCACGTCCGGCTGAAAAAATGGCCGCCGAGTCACTGGGTGGTGGACGCATGCCCGTGGCGGTGTCGCCGAAGAGCGCTAAACTGCGCATGTTCAGAGCGCATATCCCACAGCCCAGTAGACAGGGCGGCGGCTGGGAGAAGGCGATTATAGGAATGTTCTGCATGTTCCTTTCTAGGTGGCCTTTCAAGACTCGGCGAGTTTCCACGTGTGCTCGGTCGAGTCCCTGAAGGACCTCAACTCCAGGAAACCGGAAGGCGACGGTGTGGAAATCACGGAGCGCAACTTTCGACCCAATTTTCTCGTCGAAGGCTGCGACGCTTTTGCCGAGGTTCGTTATGTTAGAATTTTACGGTACTCAATTTTTTTCCCCTTCAGCTTCTGTAGTCATCTGTCGGTATTTTTAACTTTATTTTTTTTATTTTTTTTATTTTCAGTCATTTATTTGTTGAGAATACCCACACCACTGGGAGGAGGGGGGAAGGGGGGGGGGGGGATGGGGAACTAGCAAAAGGGCCCAAAAAATTAACAATATATACGACTCAAAATAAGATTACTCCAGCTTTAAGATAACAGGTGCTTAAAACGAAGATATATGCCAGGAGCCCGTTCACGAGTGAATAGCGAAAAATCTATGGGCGAAATATATTAGGGCGGCACCACATGGTAAGTTTTTTTCTCATTTCCATCGAGTGACATTAAGTGATCGGCCAATCTGAACGCGCCACTTTTAATTCAGTGCGGTGCACGTGCGACGCTTGTAGTGAGGATCGCAAGCTGATTGGGCGATCACTTTTGATGGAAATGACCTTAAATTTTGCCTTGGGGCTGGAGTATTAATCTCGTGCTCTTTTATTTTTCTTTTAGCAATCGTTCTTCTTTTTTTTAGACGCGGATGCCGGAGATTTGGGTGCGCAGAACATTTTATATAAGAGTTACCTTAACTTTACAAAAATAATCCCTGAGAAGGGCTTTTTCATTCAATTGGCGTTCACACCCTGGAAAACTGGAATCGCTGTGAAATTTTAAGAAGGTAGTTAGGTGAAAGGGTGATTTGAATTGTTTTAAGATGAACCAGCTAGGGTACACGCTCAGAAAGCAGGGTATTATACTCTTGTCCGAGATATCCTGTCGACGCAATCAATCTGTGGCACTGTTGACATGTTATGTCAGCTTATTTGTGAGTTGTTTTCTTACGACTGTTTTTGGTTTAATTTTTTGCAGGACCACTGGACCCGCATCAAGCTTGGAGATGCTGAAATATCATTCCTCGAACGTTGCACTAGGCAAGTATACGATAATAGAACTTGCCGCTTTGTATTATTCGCATCAAGAAAGAAGTCTAGTTTTACGAGCTGTTGTTACTCGACTGGCAGCACGTGATCCCAAAGCTTAGAGCAATTTTAGCTTAGGCGCTAACATGACAATTGTGTTGACACAGATGCATCCTGACAACAGTCAACCCGGACACCGGCATCCAGCTCCGAGAGCCGCTGAAAACACTCAGAACGTAAGGAGAAAACATTTTTGCTTATCATAACATTATTGATAATAACAAAGGTTATGTCTCAGGCAGAGAGAAAGAAACTTTGTTATAATCATTTTGGTAGCTTTATACTCTCGTAGCATAAGACCTCGAGGACTACCTACCGCCGCTAGCACGCACTCTTTTGAGCCTTCCGTCGTGCTTTGCTTGAGCGTGCGCCGAAGTGTTGTCGCATGGCAGAAAGCTCGCGCTGTAGAGCGCCTAATGCAGATCTTGTGTTGCAACAAAAAAATGGACCATTCCAGAAATGGGCTTCTGTCCATGCCATTTTCAGCGTTGGTGCTTGTGGAGCGTGCTTCGTTCACTTTCTGGAGCAGCGAACATGTGCATGCTGGAGCTGGACTGTAAATTTCGCACGCTGGATTGTGATTTTGTAAACTCTGGTCTTTTTCGTTAATCAAAAAGTGCTTTGTATGCTCGCAACTTGCCATATCATACTACGCCTAACGTTGGCTATGCTGGTCGAAGCGTGGCTGAGGGGCTTTAAGATACGCTTAAGGGGAGCGCTCATGGAAGGAAAGAGCTTCAGAGTCGAGCTCGTGCCCTCAGCACTTCAGAGGATGCAAGTATTTCATAACAATGACCAACGTTTTCTTCTTTTTTTTTTCTTTTTTTTTTAGTTACCGGTTAGACAGGTCCGACATTGGGAAGAAAAAGTACAAGCTGCACCCGCTGTTCGGCGTGCGCCAGTTCTTGCTGAAGGATGGCCACGTCAGTGTGGGTGATGACGTCTACGCAGTTTCCTCCGCCAAGCCCCTTTTGTGAGACTGCCTGCGCCATCTTTCGACCTTTACCCGGGCTGTGTTCACACCGAAGTTTCATTCCCTGAGCACACATGATTCACTTTTAATCACGTGAGAAATTCGCTGCCTTCTCGCACAAACTTTTGTTCCCGAGGGTAGAGTTAAACTAGGAGTGCAGTTAGACTACACATCGCAGCAGTAAGTCGAACTTTGCCTGAGGGTTATTCTTCCTATCTCTGGATACTGTATATTTTTTGATGCAAAACTTTTTACTTTGCGCTGCTCCTATCAAAAAGTGAAAGCGCTTTGTTTAATGATATTTCCGTCGGGAGTAGTCGCTCGTTATCTTCGTGGGACGTCAAATTTACGTCTAAATGGTTTCAACCATCGCTTCCAACGTTTTTATCCCATGAACATTAGTGCTCAAAACTTTATCCTCAGGTGAAGTTTCAGCTTTCAGCTAACTGTCAAGTGAAGTTTCAGCTTTTTGTGTTATGCCATTAATCTATGCCAGGTGAAGAACAAAGCCATATCTTTTTTCTCACACCTCGTACTATTAAAGTGATTGTTATCCGATCTCTGAATATACTGGGGTACAAGTTATGCTGTAATTTAGTTCACATGGTTGGCACTGAGTTCTTTAGTACGTTAGTACGCTGTCAATATGTAGTGGTTTGATTAATGAATGTTATAGTAGAGCTAACACGTGAACGGTGCCAGTTTAGAATTGTTAAAATGAAGAACGAAAAAACAAATTATGCTGTCTTTTTTTTTTTTTTCGTCAGTTTAGAAATGTTCACTTTGGCATTTGTTGGAGGGGTAACTCAATTGTCTTTCACGCATGGCCTTTTCTCTTTGACCATTTTTCGCATGTATACATTATCCGCAGCTCTCCTAAAATATTGTTCTTTTTTAGAAGAACCAATAAAGTATTGTATTTGTGAATCTGCATTTGTGTGTTTCAGTGATCTGCAACCTTTTTCATGGACCGACAGCGATTCGGTGCTGGTTAGAGTGGGTCAACTATCGGTCGTATTTCCAGTACGTCTGACTGGCCTCTGCCGCAAAAATCACGAAGACGGTCAATGCTTAGTCGAAGTTGGTTGGAGGAACCTATGACAGAATCTCGGAGCGCAGCTGACGTTCAGATAATCGACTAAGCTACGAATTCCTCAGCATCGCAACCATAGTTGATCGCTGTGACTTGAAAATTGTAGGTTGCATTGGTACTGGTAAGGTGCACTTCCACGGCTTGAACTCTGCAACTGGACAGGGCGCGTGAATCGCTCGCAGAAGGTATAATAGAGGTCAATACTAGGTAAAAAAAAAGTCATTCGAACAATGAAAAAAAAATATTTTAGAAACCATAACGCTTGTTGTCTACGATATGCGAAGCATCGCGTATGAAGATTTGCGACGTCACCAGGAGACAGGGCGTGGCGTTTACAGAGGAGAAAAAGCTTTGCCTGTTGTGCAAAGTTCGATCTTCGCCTTATTCAGTTCGAGCCAATCTTCCTTGTGCCCTCCTTTCCCGCCGCCCGCAGCTTGAGCTATTCTTCAGATCAGGTGCCACTTGGGTGGACGGCGTATGAACTTCCTGTGTTGAAGTGTCGAGGCTTTTCCTAATGCTCTAAAGTATTTCTTCGAACTTTTATTACGAGACTAGATAGATCGCGATAGAGGTAGCTAAAGAATGCTTCGCATTAAAAAACAAACTGCTTAGTAGTTATCGGCGAACTACTAGCAATTGATTGAGTATGGTGGTTTGACTCCATACACCGCAACAGACCCTTTCCAAAAGTCCGCGCCAACGCCTGTCCGCCATTGCTTGCTCATACTCGGAGCACGGAAACTCTAGGAGTGCGTCAGCGTTCTGCGTGAACTCGGATCAGCCCGCATCGGAAACGAGCGCTGCGTCAGCAATCGGCGAGTACTCGGACCCAATCACGCGCTTCGTTTCGAAAAAATGGCGACCGCCAATGTTGCTTGGCGGACCTTTGAAAAGGGTCCATTCTTGGCCTCATCGCCGCTAATTCGGTAACGTTGCGGTCTTGAGGCTCCTGAAGCAAAATAACTTGCAATGTAAAGTCTCGTTTCTTTTTTTTTTTTTTTTTGCTTTTTTAACGCAAAGCAGATTTCTTCTCATTTTTTTAAACGTACGGAACGGCTAAGGTATGTTTCATATATTAGGGAGTTTCAGTTGATCGTTTTTCTCCTCCGCTACGGTATTCGTAAATGAAACGCCGCAGCTGCGCATGCGCGCCGCCAGCCTTGTCTGCATAGTTCAAGGTCTTGTGGTAAATTGCGGAGCGCTATGCGCGTGCTTAGCGGGCTGCGGAAACGGTCTACTGAAACTCCCTATTAGGGAGTTTTCAGTCTGTTTTCCCACCTCCGTAACGCTCTTCGGACCGAGGACGCCACTACTGCGCACGAGAAGCACTAGCCTTGCCTGCAAAGTCCCGGATCTCGTATAGCCGGTTGCGGGGGAGCGTTGCGGGACAGCGGAAACGATCTACGAGAACTCCCTATATTTACCGCGGAAAGAACTGAGTACATTTGACGTGTTTTTCGGGAGTGCTTTTTCTTTGAATGCCCAGAGTTTTCATTGATACGGTGAACGCCGTGCCTGGGAAATCTGCGATTTCTTTTGCGCTAACTTTCCTCGTGCGGCAATCGTTTCCCGAAAATTTTTCTTTGGGAAAAAATTGCAATAATTTGTCGATTTCCGTCTCTTTTTTTTTTTTTAGTATATGCTTTGAACTGCAAAGAGTTCATTTAGGTGTTAAAATAACTCTACTTTCAGCGTCTCGGTATAAAACAGCGCGACAAAACAAGGACGAAGTAAAGACGAGACGGACTGCAAGTTAATTTCCACCGCTCTTAGTATATATACACCTCGGCAACAGCCAAATATACACCGCTCCCAATATATGTATACACATGGGCAACAGCCAGCGCTTTCAACCTTTTAAATCATCATGAACCAACTAGCTCAAACCAAAGTCCTAAGGTAAACGCTTATTTGGCGGTTGCCTATGTGTTTATACAGGCATATTGGGAGTAGTGGAAATAAACTTTCAGTTGATGTCAGTGCCGTCGTCTGTCTCGTGATTACATTGTCCTTGTCTTGTTGCGCTGTTTTAAACCAAGACGCTCATCAACCAGCCAGCCTTAAATACCTTTTATCAATATATTTTCAGAGCTGTTTCCATTCAAAACCCTTTACAGGCTTCTTTGCGCCTGGAATTCCCTGATCTTTATGAGCAAGGACAAGAGATAAATTCGGAAGGGTAAAACTCTCCACGCTACGAGAGTAATGTTTCAATTAGAAAGGGACGGAAGAAAACCAAATGCTGCTTCGAAGGGCGTGCATATCAGTGCCAAACACGAGCGTTCAGTAACGACATTGGTGGGGGGGGGGGGGGGGGGGGGGGGGGTGCACAACTAAAGCATTGGGCGGGCCAAAATTAAGCTTATTGAAAACTGCGCGAATCGCATTTGTGCACACTTTGGCTGCTGTCAGGCTTCCAATATTAGGGCCGGCTTGCTAGAAACAGCGTCTCAGCTGAGACTGGGGGGAATGAGGTGTTATCGCACTCGTTGCCGCCTTTAGCACATTTCGCATTGTCATGTCCGTCATGGCAGATCGAAGGCGGTTCTTGCTGAATCATCAGTGAGAAGGTCTGGTCATACAGATATGTGCTCCCGAAAAGTGACGTCAGTTTCAAGGCGTGGTCTATGCCAGGTTTCCGTACATGTTCTTGACCAGATTTTTATACTCGAGCAACTGAGAATCGCGATGCGTAGTCTTTAGCGCTGGTGAACATTGGAGGTCGATGAGCTGCAGTGGCATCGTCAAAAAAAATTAAAAAAAGGTGTTTTTTCACACCCTTTTTGTTTCATATAATGCACCCCAAAGCTTCAGTTCGACGCACAGCGCACTGTAATCGAACAGACGGCCCCAAATTTTACGAGGGGCTTGAAAACGGTGCGATGTAACTTATTAGATAGCTGAAGTACGTATCAAAGACCACAAAAAAAAAAAAAAAAAAAAAAAAACACTGAGATTTTGCAGTCAAGAAAACCCCGATCATTATTATTTTTGTTTTAGTCAGTAACACGTACATTAGCTGTTTTAATAAGTTGAACCACGCGGCTATCAAACCTCTCGTGAAAGTTAGTACCGTCAGATCGACATCAGTGTGCTGAATGTCGAACTGAAGTTTTGGGGTATCTTAAATACGGGAAAAAGGGTGTACGAATACACCCTTTTCTGGGAGTGTGGGAGTCCTCCGAGGACGCAGAAAAGGATCGCGTATTAGCCCCGAGAAGTTCGCGTGGCGCCCCCTTACGGCGAACCGGGGTGACGTCACGGCGAGGAGAGAATGTTTCCCCGACTCGCCCCGCTCGCCCCGTGGAGGCTGTGACGACGCTAGCTGACGGCGTGCTCGTTTCTATTTAATATTTTTTTGGCGTGTTTTTCGTAGGAAGTGTAAATTTTTATATGTGCCTTTATTGAGGTATGGCCTGTAGCTACAGGCGAAACTTCAACCAACATTTTAAGCATGGTTGACAGGGCAGGCAACGCATGAATCACAGCTGGTATATGAAAATGAAGAAATATGGCCACAATTGCAGGAGCATCACTATAGATTTACATCTCGCAGAATAAAGGCTGCTGATGGTCTGAATGAATTGGCAGGTTATGTATACTATTTTTTTTTTTGTATCTCTATTTTTTAAAAAGATCACCGAAGCAGAAAAGTTGCAAGCTGCTCGAGCAACACGTTAAATACAGTCTGGGCCATGAGGAGAGAATCACAAGTAAGATAGCCCAAATACAGGGGCAAATTAAACAAACAAGGAACATTTATTATATGCATTGCTCACATTTGACCTTTGCTGGATTCGGATAGTGTTTCAATGGACTACACGGGTGGTATCTGTGGACTTGTTTATATAAACCCTCAAGTAACATATAACAAACGTAAGCGAAGGTGGCTCGTTATTAGTCCCTTAAGCCCTAAAATTGAGATTTTACTTAAATCGAATTGTCCTGAAGCTAAAATACCCGAAGCTTTTCTCACGCAGACTGTCGCGCTTCACAGGTTCCACATTTTCTGCTAGTAGTGCTGCATCTACCACTGGACAGACGTTTGAATGCTTACTTTTACTCCTGTTTTCCTCTGTTGTCAGAGAGTCCAGCTGTAGGGAGTTTGGAGGCTGAGGAAGCTTTTGGGGACCTGCAGCAGTGTCTCTTTTAATTGGGAATGACAATTCAGACTCCGAATACCTAAGGCTGGAATAAAGAATGTCAAGAAAAAGTATAAACATTCCAAATTACGGCACTATTGCTGTGCATCTTTTGGGGAGTTTAATACATATCATATAGGCAACTGGGGGCAATTCGGCCGTTTTTGCTGCATACAAACTAATTTCCAGAAATTGTACATCTTCAAAGAAATATGCCTGCATACGTGTATAAACTATATAATTAATTCACGAAGAAGCTACATTTATGTAAAAGAACCCTGTTTCACATGCGCTTCCAAGATCATCAGACGCAGTGCCTTTAAAACATCTGAGAACCAGCGCATGCAGAGTGGCAGCGCAGAGTCGGGGTCGCGAGCTAATTTGACGGCCACCCAAAGGCCCATGATATAAATGCCACTTTAAATGCCTAGAAAGCGGGATGTTATATCGCCCTAAATGATGAACATGCAAGGAACAGAATTCCAGCGTCTAAAACACTCGCGCCACCGCTTCACCGACCCCTTGCAAGATTGCCTTGTGTCGTGTGGACGGACGGGGATGTTCATCGGCGGAATTGCCTCCGCCGATAGAAGATAAAGTAAGTAGGCCGGCGAGCTGGTTGATGTTACACATTTTTGAAAACCGGAGACGATGGACAAAGAAGAGGACAACACACAAAACGCGAGAGCTTGTGCCGC